CTCTTTTCCCCCCTCTCTCTCTTTTCCCCTATCTTTCTCTCCCCCTCTACCTCCCTCCTTCTCTCAGTCTCACCCTCTTCATCATTTCTCTCTCCCCCTCCTCTCGCTCCCTCTTTTTCCCTTTCCCTCCCCCTCTCCTTAGTCTCTCTCTCCTTCTTTTTCCCCCTCTCTCTCCGTTTCCCCCCCTTTCTCTCTCCCTCCTCTGTCGCCATCTGTAACTTTTTTGCCTTTGTTTCGGGGCCAAAAGTCAAGGCTGCTCCTCACCAGAATAGCGTTGTCATGGTTTCAGTTTGGAAAAAGCTGGGCCGTGGACGAGGGAGGAGTGGACAAGAGCAGCTCTGTCTGAAGTGGGAGCGCGGAGGGAGAGGGAGGCAGGTGTCACTTTACCTCGCCTTTCTTTAACTCACAGTTTAACATTTAATCCTGCGTTTGGGGGGTTTAGGAGTTATTACTGTGAGAAAAGAAGTTGATGGGTGACTGTTTATTGTCTTAAAAGTGCAATATGTAACTTTTATGTTCATGTTATAGGTCAGATCTGTGGAGAGGCAACAACGCTGTAATTCATTAATAATGTCAAAAGATTAAGAACATGATTAATCCATCAATTTGAATGGACAGAATTAGCAAAACGCACAGGCTGCAGTTTTTCAAGTGCCATAATTTCCCCCACAAACAAAATATTCTGCTCACCCTGTAGTTTAGATCCGTGCAAACATGATCTGAAATGTAACTCTTGCATTAGTTTGTCAGTTCATATTTCAATCTTTTTGTCAATTCCTCTGTTTAATTTGAACTAGGGATGGGCATTCGATTACATTTTCTTAATCGATCGTCGGGAGAATTAACAATAGATTATCGATTAATCATTAAAATGTTTATATTAAAATGATCATCATTATTATTACTATCTGCACTACTAATCTGCATAAATAAATTCAACTTTACGACATATAAACCGTAACCACTCTAGAGCCACATCAGCCCGTTTGACATTATAATGTGTTTAATGCAGCTTTGCACAAGTCTCACGGAAACAAAACTTAAAACCACATGGCTCATTTGCATAAACTAAGCGAAGAAAAAAACAGTTCTTGTGCGCTGATGTGGTCCATTTCTGTCAGATTAAAGGACACGACTCAGTGGAATACAGGTTAGTGCGACCATATTTGTGTTTGTCAAAACCAGGACACTGTACGGGCGGTGGGAGGTGGGGACTCGTCATCGACATTGCGCGACTCTCACCTGGCAAAGCTCTTTCATGTTTTCGGTGTCCTGATGAGCTTTTTCCAACTTGACACCGAAACATATGTGCTGCTTTGTACACTGTGCACATGGCCTCACAATTGTCCTGACCAGAACGGAAAGTGTGGAATTTCTTGTACAAGTCATCGTTAAATACACATTTGCTCTTCAGCACGTTGCAGGCTGACAGACTGTTTGTGTCTCGCTCCTTCTGAGTGCAGAGAGACACATGTACGGACCCCTGTTTGGTCACGCTACACTATGCACATTAATCAACTAATCATGCCCATCACTAACTTGAACTGTGATCATCAACAGAATCCTAGTATTAAAATCGTTCGGCCTTGTGCAGTTACAATACAATTTTTTTCACAATCTAGATTTTCTTCAGCATTATATTCTGACAATTTGTAATAATGACAGGCCTGGCTCATGGAACAACCATAGACTATAATATAAAGAAGTGGACTGATGGAGTGTGACGTCACCCATGGCATTTGGCACCAGTCAAATGAAGCTCACAGGGGCCTGCAGTTACAGGAGCGAAATAGGAGCTGACAAAATAGTAAAATAAAAACACCAGGATCATGTAGAGCACGTTACAGAGAGAGGGGCGATGGAGCCAGAAGCGCCCCCATAAGTCCATTTACAGTCTATGGGCACCGCTCAACAACGCAACGGTGACTCAGCAGTGACTCAGCAGTGACGTATGTTTCTCATAACGTCCTTTGACTCAAATCCAGGGCAGGTGCTCAGGTTTCAGCGGAAGTCTCATGAATTATGGAGCCAGAAGTTCACAAGGTTCCATCTCAACACTGGAGTAACTTTAACTAAGGTTAAAGCAGTGACAGGGCACATTTTATCAAAGAGGATAAGATTAGATAAAAGAGATCTCTGCTGATTCTGGTCCAAGCTGTCAAAAACATGTGTTTCTATCTCACTTCATCTGCAGGCGGCTTTACTGATAACAAACTGTGATTCTCAAAGGGCGACCTCGGGCTGCAGGCACATGACTTTTCTCTGGATGGACTTTTGGACGTTTCTCTGATTAAGTATTGTTAATTATTATGAAACAGGTAAATCAGATGTAGTTTAGAATCAGAATGTCAACTCAAAATGATGCAACATGGACAGGAGAGGGGCAGTAGTGGCTGTAGTGCAAACTGTTATTGTGACTTTAGGCAACACACTTCACCCTAGAATGAATGTGTTGTTTTGCATGAGTGGTGGTCGGAGGGAGTAATGGCAGCCTTGGTTCAGTCAGTCTAGCCCAGGCAGCTGTGGCTATAATTGCGGCTGTCATGATACCAAATGTTGAAACGCGATATGTTGCTGCATAAAAATACTGAGGTAAACGATAAAATTGAGAGTATTTTATGCCACATAACAATAAAACAATAGAGCAAAATAATCCCAGTAAACCATTTTTAAACAAACAGTTTAATCAAAATCAACTAACATAATAATCATTGTATTATTTCAAGCTGAATCCACTGCACGTGCTTCTGTTTGTTCATTCTTATATTTGGGTGAGTCTTGGGTCAGTCGCCCACAGCTTCACTCATCTGCTGCTCATGAACGGATTCCTCTGATCCACGGCTCAGTCACATGACTCAGATCTGACCAAAACAAAAAGGAGGGCTGCGGAGGAGGGCAGTAGTACTCACTAGAAATCGTACTTTTACTCCTACTTCAGTTTTATCAGTACTCTGACTTGATTAAAAGTTTTGAGAAAGTCTACAAGTGACAAAAGCTTTATGTTGACAATATGAAATATGTTTCTTGCACTGTTTCCATCAAGATGATTATTTTTCACATTTTTGTAATGTATTATTAATGTTTTATCCATCCAAATATGTTGACTTTAAACTATATATTAGGTGTTATTTCCTGACAGTTACTCTTTAAGTTACACTTACTTGAGTAGTAGTTTTCCAGATACTTTTTTACATTCACTTGTGTTATTTCTCAGACCACTACTTTGTGCTTCTTCTTGAGTAATGTTACTTTGAAGTCATGTTACTCTCACTTGAGTAACATTTTTGGATTCTCTAACTCTGCCCACATCTGGACTCCAGGCTGCAGGCACTGACCCACTGGCCCACACAGGGACGAGCCAAGACCTGCTCAAAACACACACAAAGTACCACTATACACTATACACGATACACTATATACTATACACTGTACACTATACAATACACAGAATACAGTCTACAGTCCCGCACTCCTACAGAAACCTGTTGACTTTCATCCCGTGAGGTTCATTTGGTCCTCCCATAATTTATTTGAGTAGATTCTGTGTTCTGTAGGGCTGAGTATCATTAAGAAGTTGCCGATACGATACATACCTCAATACATAGCCCAAAATATGATATATATCTCGATACAGTGCACTTTCTGTTCGATACGATATATTTAAAATCTATTTGATATGAAATAAAAAAGTGAATATGAAACACAAACATTTTAATCATCAAAACAGTGAAAATGTCAAATGTGTCGCATAAAACGTTTCCTTCCTCTAAACAAGTAACAAAACTGTAGCGCTTCAACATAATAATTCAGTAAAATATACCAAAAAAATACTCTTGGCGATATGTCGATACAGCAGCCCACAATATTGATACTACATCATCACTTTAAACAATACAATATATCGATATTTTGATATTTTTGCACACCCCTAGTGCTCTGTGTGTTGTTTTCAATCTTAATTTGGCCAGTTGACAAATTTAATTTCTCCTTTTGCCATGGATTCTACCTGGACGACTGAAGGATTCTACACACGTTTTCCCTCTATGTTTATGGTATATGTAGAGTCAAGCAGCATTTCCTAAACAGGGGTACAGACGCACAGCAGGGGCACTTGGAATGATGTCAGGTTTCAAAAGATGATGACATTAAATAGTATTTGAATAAAAAAATAAAAAAAAAAAAGTTTAATAAATAACCTGTACACTCTTAAGAATTTGGACGTTAATCATTAAGATAATACACAAAAAAATATACAAAAGAAAAACATTTATTTGCCTCTTACCAGTGATAGAGCTTTCTCAAGACATTTTAAAAGTTAAAAACAAATTAAAGCTAGAAACAGCGTCCAATGCCATACTGTGCAACATTTTATCTAATAACATCTCAATGACAACAAGTAGGTAATGTAACCCAACCTGAAAAGTTCCATAGCGTACCTTTAATTAGTCCTAGTTTATCATATTTTGGTTTCACTGTGGTTAATCAGGAAAAAAAAAACGTCTTTCAACCTCTTCATCACATCTCGAAACGTCCAACTTATCTCCATGAACAGTACTCAGCCAGCATTCATCTCAGAGTTAAACTTTGCATAATAATCTTAATTCTGAGAATATAAAACAGCCGCTCCAAACACACAACGTACAGGTGGTGCACTTCTGCCTACATGGTCCACCGTGCGTAAAAACTGTTCCAAACTCTTTAATCACTTGTGTATAAATGTTCTCTTTTTAATTACAAAAACCTAGCAGTGATAATCCAATAATACCACTCAAATGAACCGTATTAACATCGTAGTAACACGTTTTTCACGCGAGAAAACGGGACAATGGCGAGACACCTGCGCCAAATCTAGCGTGAGTAATACAGCGCCTCCAACGTGTAAATAACGGGACTTGGACGTGACTTACAATTACAAATCGTACACAAAATGGTGCACAATAAGTTTAAAAATAGAAAAGTTGCGTTAAAATGTACAGTTTGTGCAGATAACGCAGTCTTACCTGCAGGCTGCCGATTCGTAAGGTGAGTAAAACTTTTGCCAACTCCCGCTGCGTTTCCTGTTTGCTTCAAATAGTGGATTTTTTAAAAGAAAAAAAACGCAAAGCTCAACAGGTTTTCGTTGCTACTAGTTGAAAAGCTTTGGTTAGTTGAGTTTGTGGTTTTAGATCGCGGACTTTTTCGGATGTTGTTCCGTAAAAGTGAGAGAAGGAGACTGTCCTCTGCAGAGACGCGACTGGACCCGGAGCCCTGTGTCCTGCCGCCTGTGTCCGCTGTGATGAGGCCACTGACCGCAGCACACCCACAGCAGCACCGCCCCGTGCGTCCGCCAGAGGGCGCACTTACGCACGTGCGAGACGGGAGACAAGCAAGTGCAATTAAGGGTGACCAGATGTCTCTGTTTACCCAGTTTTGAGCCCTGTGTCCACTGTCCCAGCAGATTTATACAAAACCACTGATTTATCCCAGTTTTATACAAGAAATGTCACACGTGTCCCTATTTTTGACCAATCTGACCTGCCAGCAGTAAAGAGAGACATAAATTGTCATTTGTTTAGGTAAAATACAGAAAAGCTGTTTAAAAATGACCAAAACACAAAGAAAATGTGACTATACTTGACAAAAATGTTAGTCGTGAATGGGCCGAGTGCAAAACAACTTTCCTTAACTATGCACTTGATTCACAATTTTATTATTATCAACCACCACAAATTGAGGGTGTCCCAGTTTTTGATTTTGAAAATCCAGTCACCCTATTTTAGCTGGGCCCATATACACTGTTTAAATCCATTTTTGTATCTTTTCTTGAGTTTTCAGATGATCTTCAATTAGGGTGACCAGACGTCCCCAATTTTTCAGATAGTAGCTTTCAATCAAATCAAACTCCTAAACAGGACAATGAACACTTGTATTGATCACAGGCTCCTGAAAATGTGCTATTTAAATCCATGTCATATTTTTTGCTTGAGTTTTCAGATGATTTTAAGATAGGGTGACCAGACAACCCTATTTACCTGGGACAGTCCCAGTTTTGAGCCCCGTGTCTCCTCTCCCAGCGGATTTATGCAAAACCTGTGATTTGTCCCAGTTTTATACAATAACTGTCCCAGGTGTCCCTATTTCTGACCAATCTGATCCCACCAACTTAAAGACGTGAATATGTTGCCAAATATTTTTTCCTAAATACAGAAAACTGTGCTTGAAAACTGCCAGAAGACTCATGTCAAGTGAGCAGAGAATGAACCGAGTGCCTAATAATGTTCTTAATCACAACAACTCCCCAAACTGGCTGTGTCCCAGTTTTGCATTTTGAAATATACATAGATCACCCTATGTGCAATACAACTACTATTATTTTATCTGACCCCATGTATGTACAAATAAAGAGAGTAACTGATTCTTTGCAGCTGATGTCATCATTATTTCCTGCAAGTATGATGCTAATTGTAGGCTCCTCTCTGTCTGAAGCTTTATTAGACTTTAATCTGATCTTTTTTTAACACATTCTGACCAGAAAGAGCTGACTCAGTTATATAGTGACCAGACTTTCAAAATAAAAAACTTGGACATGCCTGTTTTGTGGTGGTTGGTAATAATAAAATTGTGAAACAAGTGCATAATTATTATTATTATTATTAGGAAAATTATTCTGCACTCTGCACTTATGTGAGTCAGTATAGTCACATTTCCTTTATGTTTTCATAATTTTTAAGCAGATTTTCTGTATTTTACCTGAAAAAATAACAATTTATTCCTCTGTTTACTGTTGGCAGGTCAGATTGGTCAGAAATAGGGACACCTGGGACATTTCTTGTATAAAACTGGGACAAATTACTGGTTTTGTATAGATCTGCTGGGACAGGGGACACAGGACTCAAAACTGGGACTGTCCAGAGTAAATAGGGACGTCTGGTCACCCTGGACAAGGATGTGAAATGATAGTGTGACAGTCTGAATTGTGTCTCCATGGTAACTCCTAAACGTTCTACCAGAAGAGATGCATGTAGAACACCTCCAGCATAATGTCTCTGCAAATATCAATACTTTTTACTTGGTTTTCATCTAGGGTTAGGGTAGGTAGACTCTTATTCTCTGGTGAGGTTAGTTACCAAATTTCTCAGAGTTGACTAATCATTGTATTGTGATGATTCTAAGGATTTATTCAGAGTAAAACAGAGTCGAGGAGCATGAAGGGAATTCGCTGGAGTTTTTCCCTCATTTATGATGTGCACAAAATCTGAATCATTTTGAAAGTGTTTGCCAGAGCCACACAGCGCTCCATTTTATTTGATACATTGATGCACAGGACATGTGTTTGTTTCAACCAAGGATTTCTTTAGTCGACTTCGGCCCCAAAATCCCCAAAGTGTGTCACTGTATTTAACTCAACATTGGTTTAGAAATGATGATCTGTGAAAAGCTTTTATGAAGTTTGACGTCTGTTCTTTCTTTCTTCTTGGCAAATATTTGAACTATAACAACTAATATAACTCTAAAATAATACAGAGAAGGAAATAAGAACACTGAGCTTAGTTAAAACGTAAAACACATGCTTTATTTTAGTTGTTTTGACATAACTCTGTAGGTAATATTGTTCATTTAAAACACATTTACATAATGAACTAACAATTCGCAGCATAAAAGTGAACCAAAGTGTATTTCTGTAAACAATGACATAAATAGATTCATTTAAAAGAACACTGGCCTTCTTATTTCTTCCTTATTCTGATTGGCCAGATGAACACGGTAAGCAGACAGAGCGCCGTCGCTATGGCCACGCCCCCTGTCACCGTTACCATGACGTCACGGTAGAACCACACACAGTCCGGACAGCACTGCTCCGAACTGGACCAAAACAAACAATCGTATTTAATATTAAGAACACAGATTTATGTAATAAGAGAAATGGATCATATTATCTTTTCAGAATTCAGATGTAACACTGTGAGAGTCACTGACAGACAAATGTTGAGCTTTTGTCATTTGGCGACACAAACATGTCATATTAATCTAGTGTCTTAAAGGTGCATTGTGTAACTTCTCTGGCAAATTTCACCATGGGATTCTGACCTGTTCTCCAGCTCCACTTTAAACTACAGGGATTTTACAGTGTTGAGATGCCACATGACTGTCTCTCACCTGCAGGGTCTCAGGCTCTGGATCAGGATGACCCCCAGACCGTTGGCCAGTTTGTCTGTGAGACTCATGGAGCCGTACACAAAAGCTCCACTTTGCTGCAAAATAAATACATAATTTTTATTAACTTTTGATCCAAAATGGTTGAACAGATGAATATTTTGAATGAATTTTGACTTTCAACATATAAATTGCTTCACTTTTCCCTGGACAACATCACTGATCAATGAAAAAACTGAAAAAAGACTTGCAATGCACGATAACACCACTGATTTAAGTCATTATAACTCCAATACCAAATCTTTTAAAAGGCCAAATAAATGCTTTAAACTTCCTATCACTCCACTTAACTTTGGGTTCATAAGATTACCCAGTTTTCCTGTTCCTTTTACTACAAATGGCTCAAAATAAATAAATACATACAGTACGAAACTGGCTGGTGGTGTAAGAGTGACTGATTACCACTGTTGGGCAAGCTACTTCAAAACTGTAATGTGTTATTTATTACTTGTTACTGTTATTTCAAAGTAATTAGTTACATTACAATATTACTGTATTTAAAATGTAAGGTATTACATTACTACTGCATTACTTTTCAGTTACTCTCACTCTAACTGTGAAGATGCTGAACTTTTGCACCGTATATGGACTGAACCAGGACTAAACCAAAACTGAACCAGAGCTGAACCCGGACTGAGCCAGGATTAAACCAGGTCTAAACCAGAGCTGAACCAGGACTAAACTAGGTCTAAACCGAGGACTGAACTGAGGACTAAACCAGGACTAAACCAGGTCGGAGCGGAGTTCTGCGTCGGTCCTTTCTCTCATGGTCACCCGACAAGTCTACGCGGGCACGTCTCCAGTGTTTCACCGGCTGCTGATATCGTGGTGATTTTAGCAAAGTTGTATGAAGAAAAACCCACCACTTCAATCCAGGTTAAATAAGTATTGTAACGCGTGTTACTGATATTTGTACCGAGTAAAATATTAATATTTTTTCCCTGTAATGCCGTACAGTACTGCGTTACAGCAAAAAGCAATGCATTACAGTAATTCATTACTTTTATAACGCGTTACTCCCAACACTGCTGATTACATGGTGTAGGATTCTCTGAACAAGTAAGTTTTGAGTTTGAATTTGAGGAGAAGAAGAGAGTCTGTTCAGTTAATCAGTGGTCACATTTTTATATAGAGCTTTTCCACCTTCAAGACACTCAAAGAGCTTTACAACAAGGAAACACACACACACAACAAATGATGTTTATGTCGAGAGCAGGATTCAAACCACCGTCTGATCAGAGGACAAACACACTACCAGCTGAGCCACTGTCACCCATATTGAACAGTAATATTAAATAAACTGATAAATGGTTAAATAAACTTACGGTGTGTTTTCCGATGAGTGTGGAGGTCATGGACAGAGACATGACCAGGATCACGGCTGAACCTGCTCCTAACATCACCGCAGCTCCATAAACTCTCTGAGCTCCCATCGACCAGTCCACAAACACACACACCGCAAACCCAAACACCAGAAGCACACCCACCAGGTACGTCGTCTGAGGAAAGAAAAACATGATTTAAAGATGTACTGTGGAACTTTTCTGGTGAAATCTGCCACATGTGAACTTGTATTTATTCTAAAACCTGTTTTTATTGCTCAAAAACACCTTGAAAACATGCATTCTTATTCTTACTCTTGTTTTATCACAAAAGATGACATACTTAAAGGCAAGGCAAGTTTATTTGTATAGCACAATTCGTACACAAAGTAATTCAAAGTACTTAAAGATACTTAAACTTTTAGGGTATATATTACTTAAACATAGACAATTTTTTAACCTTCAAAATTAACCTTATAGTACTTATACTTTTAGGGTATGTACTACTTAAAGATAGACAGTTTTTTAACCTTCAAAATGAACCTTATAGTACTTAAACATTTAGAGTATGTATTTCTTTAAGATAGACAGTTTGTTAACTCAAAAACAGTTGTACGACTCAAATACTAATGTACTACTACTCAAAATTTTTATGTTATCAGTTTCATCCATTCTTTTGAGTCGTCCTAACTTGTCACGTTTTACAGTGTGAGAGCAGGGCTGCCTCTCCACAGAGCTGACCTGTAAGCATCTCCATGGAGACAGGCGATGCCTCGAGACTATTACAGGTCAAATCTGTGGAGAGACGACCCCCCTCCCTGTAACAGAACAGCTTTTCAAGATCTTAAACATCTTTATTCATTATGTACAGTATGTTTTAAGCCTTTTTTTCAGTTTGAAGAATTTAAATAAAGAACAGTAGAACAAAAAAGGCTGAATTAGAGAAAGATTTTAAGAAACAGCGTGAAAATGTGATGTATAACAGTAACAATGGTAGTTTTGTGTTAGTGGTTTTAACTGTAGTTCACTTAAACTTTTAGCAGCACATTTATGGTGCATTGTGGTTTGGTCTTGGTTTGAGTTCAGTTTCGTCCTGATGTAGATTTAGTCCTGTTTGGTCCTGGTTTAGTTCTGGATTTAGTCCCAAATTAGATGTGCTGTCTGTGGAAGTGTGAAGTCACCCCTTGCTATCAGTTTTAATTATATCCTGATATTTCTAACCACTTCTCAAACTAAAACACAAAATAAAAGTTGATGAGATGAACTCACTGTGATTCCTATGCGTTTACTGACAGGTTTCATGGCGAGAGAAGAAGCAAACCCACTGACGTACATCACGAGAGGGATGGTCGCTATAAATCTCTGAGGAAAATTAGAAAATATAAGTTATTTTTTTCATGTTATCTGCTTTTCACTGTATCTTTGCAGACAGCTGTGCCCTCTGACCTTTGGTAACATGAGTGAGTTTGTGAGATACACAGACATGTAGGTGACAGAGAGGTTCACTATGAGCCTGGTGCACATGTAGAGGAAGGCCACCTGAAAGACAAGATACAGTTTAATACTGAGGGACAGTATTTGGTGCGCACCAAACGGTCCATTCGAACCAAAAGTGGTTAGTTCGGTTCGTTTGCGTTGGTGTGAAAGCGTCAATCGGACTCGGACCCGAACCAAATCAAGCGGACCGAGACCTCAAAAAAAGAGGTGGTCTCGGTTCGCTTGAATCCGCACCAAATGACCAACTTTGGTGCGGTTCCTCTGGTGTGAACGCGAACCCGGGTCCAAACCATAGACAGTATGGACAAACGGACTATTCGAAATGCATCATGGGAGGGACACGCGTCTCCTCTGCCTGAAGTGACGCGCTGTACGACTCCAGCGCAGTAACAGATTGTTGTCCAGACGCAGACGCGATTCATTTTCGAATCATTTTACCAACAATGGCCAATACAGAGAATGTAACACACGAAGATCAGAGCAAGTATCAGTGTGCGAACGTGTGGCTCCAGAGTGAGTCAAAATTGGGGGTGCGTACCCCTGTTCTGGACCTACACGCACAGAGACGACCCGGTGTCCCCCGTGATCACGCAGCAACCAACATTTGTTATTTTAGGCTTTAATTAACCAAATAATTTCATGGCAATAGGCAATCGCCCATTCAATTGATACAACTTAAAAAAGTCCCTGCTTTTAGCCTAGTGTGAGAAATACAGTCGGACTAGATCCAAACCAGAGTCCTGAACCAGCGGGGGCAGCTCCAGTTCAGGCCGGGCTCAGAGGAGCTGGAGCGGGGAGCTTCGACCTGAGGAAGAACTTTCCCCGGAAAGAACCAAATGCGCGGAGGACGGACGCTCAGAACAACATATAACAAACCAAACTGGACTCACGCTTCTGTCCGGATGCTGCACCACCTCGGAACCAGCCGCGGTTCTTGAGCGCAGAGGACTGGAGCAGCGCCCGGACCTGTAGTCCACAGCGCATTCTTGCTTTTCCCGCACAGAACCAACGCGCAGACGACGGAACGTACCCGCTCAGACCCAGTCATTGCGCACTGGTCTTTCTCGCCACCGTTTGGAACCAGCACATGAAGGACAGAGCCTCCGGACCATCTGACCAACGAGCTTGTAGGACGACAGAAGACCAAGGACCAGACCCCAGCCCCGTCCTGAGGAGCTGCGCGCTACTGTGAGCGCTGTTGGCTGCTGCTGTTACCCGAACTCTGGGCTGATGTGGTGAGTTTGTACAAAGTTCTACATGTTGCTGTTTTATGAGTTCATGGTGATAATTTGAGATGAGGACGGCCCGTGGTATTAACAGGAACATCGGTGTTGATAACTGGAGTATCGCTGTTTTACCGGGGAAACAGAGACACGTCAATCGAACTAGTTTTGGTTCGTTTGCCGGTGTGAACGCGGACCACACTGGAGTGTATTTGCTACATAATAACAATTTTATTGCCTGGTGCGGACCAAATAATCGAACTAGCGGTGTGAAAAACGACCTAAAACTGTGTGTGTGCTGCCAACAGTAGGTCATGTGATCACTTTCTGTATTTATAAATGTGAAATACGAGACAGAAATCCCACGAGACGAGACAAGACAGAATTTTCACATAAGTTAAAACTGAGATCTTCAACAGAGGGGTCATGAAATCTTTGGTTGAATAGACTTTTGTTTTGTTTTATTATTTCCTCATTTTTGAAGGATGAGGATGAACTGGTTTTCAGTGGATTCTCTCTGTTCGCTCCTTCATCACTGTCTCTCTCTCTTCATCCCTTCATCTCTTGCTCCCTGTCAAAATGCAAACAGTTCCGTTACAGCTTTACTTTTACGCACAGCAGAACTTAAGCTCTGCATGTACTACCGCGCATCGGGAAGGAGTCAGGCAACTTCATTCCCCGGGTGCATTAACCAGGCTCTGCACTCCACGACCGCCTCCTCGACCCGCGAGCGACTGGGAGAGGAGGAAGAGAACAGGAGAGGAGGAGGAGAACAGGAGAAGAGGAGGAGAACAGGAGAAGAGGAGGAGAACAGGAGAAGAGGAGAGGAGAACAGGAGAGGAGGAGGAGAACAGGAGAGAGAGGAGGAGAGGAGAGGAGGAGGAGAACAGGAGAGGAGGAGGAGAACAGGAGAGGAGGAGGAGAACAGGAGAAGAGGAGAAACAGGAGAAGAGGAGGAGAACAGGAGAAGAGGAGGAGAACAGGAGAAGAGGAGGAGAACAGGAGAAGAGGAAGAACAGGAGAAGAGGAGGAGAACAGGAGAAGAGGAGGAGAACAGGAGAGAGGAGGGAGAGAGAGGAGGAACAGGAGGAAGAGAGAGACAGGAGAAGAGGAGGAGAACAGGAGAAGAGGAGAGACAGGAGAAGCAGAGAAGAGGAGGAGAACAGAGAGAGGAGGAGGGAAAAGAGGAGGAGAACAGGAGAGGAGGAGAACAGGAGAAGAGGAGAAGAGGAGAGGAGGAGAACAGGAGAAGGGAGGAGAACAGGAAGAGAGGAGAACAGGAGAAGAGGAGGAGAACAGGAGAGGAGGAGAACAGGAGAAGAGGAGGAGAACAGGAGAGGCCAGAAAGGTTCAGTGTCCTATATCAAACTCTTGTCCTTGATTGCTGTGGCTCTGCTCTTGTTCCATCAGATCATTAAAAAAGTGACACTTTGGGCTCATTTTCCATGATGTTGTTGCTCCATTGCTCTGGTCTTCTCAAAGTCACCGTGAGCACAAAATGCAGCTTAAACTTCAGGCCTGAGTTTAGCTTTGGTCAGCAGAAGTAAACAGCAAGGCCAAAATTCAAGTTAATGCATCTGATATAAAAATGTATTCAACAGATACATATGTACTCTAGTTTATAAAACTGTTGACCTTTTTTCTGTACCATTTTTTAGTTCTAAAGTTCCATACGTTTTAAACAGACCATGTATGAAACATGGAACAAAAATTATTTCCCAAATTTCAAAGACCTGCAAATCATGTCAATAAATGGATGTATTTCATCATATCTTGTGTTATTCCATCTTTGAACTGTTGATGAAGGTACATGATTTTTCAGAACAAATGTATTAAAAAAAGTATGTAAAGTGCTGCATATTTCATTCCCTCCGTTACCGACATGAGTTTTTAAATTTTTTGTCAACAACTTCAAAGAATATCACAGGTTTAACTTGACCCTGTTGGAGTGTTAACTCTTTCCTACATTCTGATACTTTACTTATTTCAATAGTCCCTCTAGTTTCTGAATAAGACTTATCTGAATGTAAAAAATCTGCCCCTGTTCCCTCTGTTACTGCTTGATCAGACCCATTTGTGTCATGAAATTGAGGCTTAAACTGGAGATGGAGCTAGTATCAGCTCAGGATTTCAGGATAAGTCTGAACTTGTTAAGCGACTTTGATGGAATACCCCCCTAGTATTGAATGTACAATAACAGAGTAGCTGTTTATAGATGACACTAGGCCCAACTGAATATAAAACACAATTGTATGTCATTTATACAGTAGGGGGTCCCTGCTCAGCTCTCCATCAGTTTGGGGGTCCCTGGCCTGAAAAACGTTGAAGACATAGCATAACATAGCATTGTCCTAGTCATATTTTGGATATTTTAAATGTTCTATATTACACAACATTGACTATTGTGAGCTTTAAATCATATTATAATGTAAACTCATCAAAAACGTACCCGGAGTTGTTTTGTCCCATTCACACATGGTTTATTATTAGTCTGTGTACTTCTACCTCAGATGCTCTGTTCCATCTTGTGATGTCATATAACTGTTGTTTTCAAGTTAACAGATACCTTTTACCTTTTGTTCAGTAAATACGGGTAATTTCAGGGTTGAAATTGTCCAAATGATTCTAGAGAAGGTGTATGGAATTTAAAAACACAGTGGAGCAAGGTGGTTTTCAGGTTCAGAGATATGTGAGGCATGTGTAAATGAAGCAAAACACAACTCCAGGTCTGTTTTTGATCAGAAAAAAGTGTAATATGGGCCCTTTAAAGTAAATTTGGTCCAGTTGGTCCAGTTGTAGCTGTTTATCTGCACTCTTGCACCACTACTGCTGCACGGAGACGGAGATCACTTTTTGGATCCATATTGGGTATTCAGTCTGTAAAAATATTCAGAACTCACTTGATAAAACGAAGGCTCTTTTAGCCAGTGTTTCCACTTGAACTCGGTGCTCTGAGAGTCTGTCACTTGAGAGTTTCGGATCAGCCTTTCATTTTCAGGACTGGTCACGTTTTCCTTTGTCCCAATGTGAAATATCAGAGAGAAGACAGCCCCAATACACAGCATGATCAGGGACAAACTCTGAAACACAAAATGTAAACCTTAATATGTATATCAGTTAAAAGTTTGTACAGACCCTCTCATTCATTTTTTAAACTACTACCTTCTACATTTTTTATACAAACAGAACAAACCAAATATATGAAACAAGATATATAGAATTATGTAGCAAAGAAAAAAAACTTCACTGCTGCCTGTTTGTCTAGGGTGACTATCTTCAAAATCAAAAACTGGGACACAGGAGTAGTGGGCGTGTATGCGGGTTTTCACCTTATACATATATAAAAAAAACATAAAAAATAGCTACAACTTAAGAGTTCTTCAATCCAAGTGGGAATCATATTGGCACTAGTTTGAGATATAGTTTTAGTATTGATTAGTATATGATTTTTGATACTTCTGACAGCCCTGTTATCTATACATGATGATAAATAAAGCATTATCAAGTAGAAACTGTGCGTCAAAGTCCAGACTGCTGAGCCCCTCCCACAGTTCAGAGTTACAGAGTCCATATTGTAAAAACACTCACAGCATTGTATACCCATTCATTACAGCATCTCAGCCTTTCACTGCAACCATTTTCTTCTGCCTCTTTCAGATTAAAGAGGTGCTACGTTCTTCCAACTCCTCTGTGAAGACCAGACTCACTTTGAGCTGTCCCAACTATGGTCTCTGGAAGGACCCACAGTTGCAGAGGCACAATCTTCAGGACTTGCTTGATATCCAAATAAATCCCAGTCCCGTTTTCCCCCAAATGGAGGGACTTCAGGAATTTACCGAGTATCTTTCTGAATGTTTGGAGCTGGAGTCACCCTTGGACCTTCTGGAGCCTCCCAGCACAGTGGGCTTCCTGAAGCTGTCCCGCCCGTGCTGCTACATCTTCCCTGGTGGAAGAGGGGATGCTGCCTTTTTTGCGGTCAATGGGTTTAATGTCCTGGTCAACGGTGGTTCAGATCCCCGCTCTTCATTTTGGAAGCTTGTCCGACATTTGGACAGAATTGATTCGGTTTTATTGACCCATATTGGTGTTGATAATCTTCCAGGATTCAACAGTTTGCTGCTGAGAAAAATAGCAGAACAAGATGAGGAAGCAAGTGCATCTCATCCTGAAGAGGAATGGATGAAATATCTCATATCACCTGAAATTGGAGTTGTTTTTCTTAACATTCCTGATAAGCTCATATCAAGTCAAGGCGATCTGAGCGAACTGCGCAGTTGCGACCAAGTTGAGGCAACTTTACAGAATTTGGAACGACTCTCAATCAAGCCTGAACCTCTAACACGCTTAAATGGACCTTCAGTTGAGCCGGTTATCATGTTTCAAAAAATGGGTGTGGGTCGCTTAGAGTTATACATACTCAATCCGATCAGTGGTAGCAAAGAACTTGAGAGTTTCAAGAAAAGTTGGCCCGAAAACATTTCAGAAACAAAGACTCTTCCACTGACATGCCTTGTTTCTATCTGTGCCTTGTTGATTTGGCATCCATCAAATCCCCAAGAGAAGATCATCCGGGTCCTCTTTCCAGGCTGCGCGCCTCAAGCCAAAATCCTGGATGGCCTCGAAAAGCTCAAACATCTCGAGTGCCTTAAACACCCTNTGAGAGCAGGGCTGCCTCTCCACAGAGCTGACCTGTAAGCATCTCCATGGAGACAGGCGATGCCTCCAGACTATTACAGGTCAAATCTGTGGAGAGACGACCCCCCTCCCTGTAACAGAACAGCTTTTCAAGATCTTAAACATCTTTATTCATTATGTACAGTATGTTTTAAGCCTTTTTTTCAGTTTGAAGAATTTAAATAAAGAACAGTAGAACAAAAAAGGCTGAATTAGAGAAAGATTTTAAGAAACAGCGTGAAAATGTGATGTATAACAGTAACAATGGTAGTTTTGTGTTAGTGGTTTTAACTGTAGTTCACTTAAACTTTTAGCAGCACATTTATGGTGCATTGTGGTTTGGTCTTGGTTTGAGTTCAGTTTCGTCCTGATGTAGATTTAGTCCTGTTTGGTCCTGGTTTAGTTCTGGATTTAGTCCCAAATTAGATGTGCTGTCTGTGGAAGTGTGAAGTCACCCCTTGCTATCAGTTTTAATTATATCCTGATATTTCTAACCACTTCTCAAACTAAAACACAAAATAAAAGTTGATGAGATGAACTTACTGTGATTCCTATGCGTTTACTGACAGGTTTCATGGCGAGAGAAGACGCAAACCCACTGACGTACATCACAAGAGGGATGGTCGCTATAAATCTCTGAGGAAAATTAGAAAATATAAGTTATTTTTTCATGTTATCTGCTTTTCACTGTATCTTTGCAGACAGCTGTGCCCTCTGACCTTTGGTAACATGAGTGAGTTTGTGAGATACACAGACATGTAGGTGACAGAGAGGTTCACTATGAGCCTGGTGCACATGTAGAGGAAGGCCACCTGAAAGACAAGATACAGTTTAATACTGAGGGACAGTATTTGGTGCGCACCAAACGGTCCATTCGAACCAAAAGTGGTTAGTTCGGTTCGTTTGCGTTGGTGTGAAAGCGTCAATCGGACTCGGACCCGAACCAAATCAAGCGGACCGAGACCTCAAAAAAGAGGTGGTCTCGGTTCGCTTGAATCCGCACCAAATGACCAACTTTGGTGCGGTTCCTCTGGTGTGAACGCGAACCCGGGTCCAAACCATAGACAGTATGGACAAACGGACTATTCCAAATGCATCATGGGAGGGACACGCGTCTCCTCTGCCTGAAGTGACGCGCTGTACGACTCCAGCGCAGTAACAGATTGTTGTCCAGACGCAGACGCGATTCATTTTCGAATCATTTTACCAACAATGGCCCATACAGAGAATGTAACACACGAAGATCAGAGCAAGTATCAGTGTGCGAACGTGTGGCTCCAGAGTGAGTCAAAATTGGGGGTGCGCACCCCTGTTCTGGACCTACACGCACAGAGACGACCCGGTGTTCCCCCGTGATCACGCAGCAACCAACATTTGTTATTTTAGGCTTTAATTAACCAAATAATTTCATGGCAATAGGCAATCGCCCATTCAATTGATACAACTTAAAAAAGTCCCTGCTTTTAGCCTAGTGTGAGAAATACAGTCGGACTAGATCCAAACCAGAGTCCTGAACCAGCGGGGGCAGCTCCAGTTCAGGCCGGGCTCAGAGGAGCTGGAGCGGGGAGCTTCGACCTGAGGAAGAACTTCCCCGGAAAGAACCAAATGCGCGGAGGACGGACGCTCAGAACAACATATAACAAACCAAACTGGACTCACGCTTCTGTCCAGATGCTGCACCACCTCGGAACCAGCCGCGGTTCTTGAGCGCAGAGGACTGGAGCAGCGCGCCCGGACCTGTAGTCCACAGCGCATTCTTGCTTTTCCCGCACAGAACCAACGCGCAGACGACGGAACGTACCCGCTCAGACCCAGTCATTGCGCACTGGTCTTTCTCGCCACCGTTTGGAACCAGCACATGAAGGACAGAGCCTCCGGACCATCTGACCAACGAGCTTGTAGGACGACAGAAGACCAAGGACCAGACCCCAGCCCCGTCCTGAGGAGCTGCGCGCTACTGTGAGCGCTGTTGGCTGCTGCTGTTACCCGAACTCTGGGCTGATGTGGTGAGTTTGTACAAAGTTCTACATGTTGCTGTTTTATGAGTTCATGGTGATAATTTGAGATGAGGACGGCCCGTGGTATTAACAGGAACATCGGTGTTGATAACTGGAGTATCGCTGTTTTACCGGGGAAACAGAGACACGTCAATCGAACCAGTTTTGGTTCGTTTGCCGGTGTGAACGCGGACCACACTGGAGTGTATTTGCTACATAATAACAATTTTATTGCCTGGTGCGGACCAAATAATCGAACTAGCGGTGTGAAAACGACCTAAAACTGTGTGTGTGCTGCCAACAGTAGGTCATGTGATCACTTTCTGTATTTATAAATGTGAAATACGAGACAGAAATCCCACGAGACGAGACAAGACAGAATTTTCACATAAGTTAAAACTGAGATCTTCAACAGAGGGGTCATGAAATCTTTGGTTGAATAGACTTTTGTTTTGTTTTATTATTTCCTCATTTTTGAAGGATGAGGATGAACTGGTTTTCAGCGGATTCTCTCTGTTCGCTCCTTCATCACTGTCTCTCTCTCTTCATCCCTTCATCTCTTGCTCCCTGTCAAAATGCAAACAGTTCCGTTACAGCTTTACTTTTACGCACAGCAGAACTTAAGCTCTGCATGTACTACCGCGCATCGGGAAGGAGTCAGGCAACTTCATTCCCCGGGTGCATTAACCAGGCTCTGCACTCCACGACCGCCTCCTCGACCCGCGAGCGACTGGGAGAGGAGGAAGAGAACAGGAGAGGAGGAGGAGAACAGGAGAAGAGGAGGAGAACAGGAGAAGAGGAGGAGAACAGGAGAAGAGGAGAACAGGAGAAGAGGAGGAGAACAGGAGAAGAGGAGGAGAACAGGAGAGGAGGAGGAGAACAGGAGAGGAGGAGAACAGGAGAGGAGGAGGAGAACAGGAGAGGAGGAGGAGAACAGGAGAAGAGGAGGAGAACAGGAGAAGAGGAGGAGAACAGGAGAAGAGGAGGAGAACGGAGAGGGAGAACAGGGAGAAGAGAGGAGAACAGGAGAAGAGGAGAGAACAGAGAGGAGGGGGAGAAGGAGGAGAACAGAGAAGAGGAGGAGAAACAGGAGAAGAGAAGAGGAAGAACAGGAGAGGAGGAGGAGAACAGGAGAAGAGGAGGAGAACAGGAGAGGAGGGGGAGAAGAGGAGGAGAACAGGAGAAGAGGAGGAGAACAGGAGAAGAGGAGGAGAACAGGAGAGGAGGAGAACAGGAGAAGAGGAGGAGAACAGGAGAAGAGGAGGAGAACAGAGGAGGAGAGAACAGGAGAAGAGGAGGAGAACAGGAGAGGAGAGGAGGAGAACAGGAGAAGAGGAGGAGAACAGGAGAAGAGGAGGAGAACAGGAGAAGAGGAGGAGAACAGGAGAAGAGGAGGAGAACAGGAGAGGCCAGAAAGGTTCAGTGTCCTATATCAAACTCTTGTCCTTGATTGCTGTGGCTCTGCTCTTGTTCCATCAGATCATTAAAAAAGTGACACTTTGGGCTCATTTTCCATGATGTTGTTGCTCCATTGCTCTGGTCTTCTCAAAGTCACCGTGAGCACAAAATGCAGCTTAAACTTCAGGCCTGAGTTTAGCTTTGGTCAGCAGAAGTAAACAGCAAGGCCAAAAATTCAAGTTAATGCATCTGATATAAAAATGTATTCAACAGATACATATGTTCTCTAGTTTATAAAACTGTTGACCTTTTTTCTGTACCATTTTTTAGTTCTAAAGTTCCATACGTTTTAAACAGACCATGTATGAAACATGGAACAAAAATTATTTCCCAAATTTCAAAGACCTGCAAATCATGTCAATAAATGGATGTATTTCATCATATCTTGTGTTATTCCATCTTTGAACTGTTGATGAAGGTACATGATTTTTCAGAACAAATGTATTAAAAAAAGTATGTAAAGTGCTGCATATTTCATTCCCTCCGTTACCGACATGAGTTTTTAAATTTTTTGTCAACAACTTCAAAGAATATCACAGGTTTAACTTGACCCTGTTGGAGTGTTAACTCTTTCCTACATTCTGATACTTTACTTATTTCAATAGTCCCTCTAGTTTCTGAATAAGACTTATCTGAATGTAAAAAATCTGCCCCTGTTCCCTCTGTTACTGCTTGATCAGACCCATTTGTGTCATGAAATTGAGGCTTAAACTGGAGATGGAGCTAGTATCAGCTCAGGATTTCAGGATAAGTCTGAACTTGTTAAGCGACTTTGATGGAATACCCCCCTAGTATTGAATGTACAATAACAGAGTAGCTGTTTATAGATGACACTAGGCCCAACTGAATATAAAACACAATTGTATGTCATTTATACAGTAGGGGCTCCCTGCTCAGCTCTCCATCAGTTTGGGGGTCCCTGGCCTGAAAAAACGTTGAAGACATAGCATAACATAGCATTGTCCTAGTCATATTTTGGATATTTTAAATGTTCTATATTACACAACATTGACTATTGTGAGCTTTAAATCATATTATAATGTAAACTCATCAAAAACGTACCCGGAGTTGTTTTGTCCCATTCACACATGGTTTATTATTAGTCTGTGTACTTCTACCTCAGATGCTCTGTTCCATCTTGTGATGTCATATAACTGTTGTTTTCAAGTTAACAGATACCTTTTACCTTTTGTTCAGTAAATACGGGTAATTTCAGGGTTGAAATTGTCCAAATGATTCTAGAGAAGGTGTATGGAATTTAAAAACACAGTGGAGCAAGGTGGTTTTCAGGTTCAGAGATATGTGAGGCATGTGTAAATGAAGCAAAACACAACTCCAGGTCTGTTTTTGATCAGAAAAAAGTGTAATATGGGCCCTTTAAAGTAAATTTGGTCCAGTTGGTCCAGTTGTAGCTGTTTATCTGCACTCTTGCACCACTACTGCTGCACGGAGATCACTTTTTGGATCCATATTGGGTATTCAGTCTGTAAAAATATTCAGAACTCACTTGATAAAACGAAGGCTCTTTTAGCCAGTGTTTCCACTTGAACTCGGTGCTCTGAGAGTCTGTCACTTGAGAGTTTCGGATCAGCCTTTCATTTTCAGGACTGGTCACGTTTTCCTTTGTCCCAATGTGAAATATCAGAGAGAAGACAGCCCCAATACACAGCATGATCAGGGACAAACTCTGAAACACAAAATGTAAACCTTAATATGTATATCAGTTAAAAGTTTGTACACACCCTCTCATTCATTTTTTAACTACTACCTTCTACATTTTTTATACAAACAGAACAAACCAAATATATGAAACAAGATATATAGAATTATGTAGCAAAGAAAAAAAACTTCACTGCTGCCTGTTTGTCTAGGGTGACTAGATCTTCAAAATCAAAAACTGGGACACAGGAGTGTAGTGGGCGTGGTATGCGGGGTTACGCTGTCCACCTACTTCTCCTGACATGGGATATAAAAAAATAACTAATATAAAATAGCTACAACTTAAATGTCAAACCGGAGCTATTGGCAACGATGAAAACAACCTGCATAGAGTCATGATACCTGCACTACTGTCCTATACTGACCTGAGACACGAGACCAGGACTAAACCAGGACTGAACCAGGAATAAAACAGGTTTTAACCAAGTCTAAACCAGGACTGGCACAGAGCTCCATGTCCCGCATCACCTGATCGTGCTTTAGGGACACCCTGCTCGGGGTCTCTCTCTCTCTCTCTCTCTCGATCTCTCTCTCTCTCGATCTCTCTCTCTCTCGGTCTCTCTCTCTCTCGATCTCTCTCTCTCTCGTCTCTCAATCTCTCTCTCTCTCTCTCTCTCTCTCTCTCTCTCTCTCTGATCTCTCTCTCTCTCTCTCTCTCGGTCTCTCTCTCTCTCTCTCTCTCTCTCTCTCTCTCTCTCTCTCTCTCTCTCTCTCTCTCTCTCTCTCGATCTCTCTCTCTCTCTCTCTCTCTCTCTCTCTCTCTCTCTCTCTCTCTCTCTCTCTCTCTCTCTCTCTCTCTCTCTCTCTCTCTCTCTCTCTCTCTCTCTCGATCTCTCTCTCTCTCTCTCTCTCTCTCGATCTCTCTCTCTCTCTCTCTCTCTCTCTCTCTCTCTCTCTCTCTGATCTCTCTCTCTCTCGGTCTCTCTCTCTCTCTCTCTCTCTCTCTCAATCTCTCTCTCTCTCTCTCTCTCTCTCTCTCTCTCTCTCTCTCTCTCGATCTCTCTCTCTCTCTCGATCTCTCTCTCTCTCTCGGTCTCTCTCTCTCTCTCGACTCTCTCTCTCTTGATCTCTCTCTCTCTCTCTCGGTCTCTCTCTCTCTCTCTCTCTCGATCTCTCTCTCTCTCTCTCTCTCTCTCTCTCTCTCTCTCTCTCTCTCTCTCTCTCTCTCGATCTCTCTCTCTCTCTTGATCTCTCTCTCTCTCGATCTCTCTCTCTCTCTCTCTCTCTCTCTCTCTCTCTCTCTCTCTCTCTCTCAATCTCTCTCTCTCTCTCTCTCTCTCTCTCTCTCTCTCTCTCTCTCTCTCTCTCTCTCTCTCTCGATATCTCTCTCTCGACCTGGTTCAATCCTGGTTCAGTCCTGGCTTAGACCTGGTTCAGTTCTGTTTTAGACCTGGTTTAACCCTAGTTCAGTCCTGGTTTATTCCTGGTTTAGTCCTCCTGGTTCAGTCATGAATCGCATACCCCGACTTAAAAAATCCCAACTACACCACTGGTTGGTCATAATAAAACTGTGAAACGAGGGCATAATTAAAGAAAACTGTTATGCAGAGATCATTCATGACTAACATGTGAGTCAGTATAGTCACATTTTCTTTGTGTTTTGGTCATTTTTAAGCAGCTTTTTCAAACAAATAACAATTTATGCCTCTCTTACTATTGGCAGGTAACAAATTGGTCAAAATAGGGACACCTGGGACATTTCTTGTATAAAACTGGAACAAATCACTGGTTTTGTATAAATCTGCTAGGACAGGGAACACAGGACACAAAACTGGGACTGTCCCAGGTAAATAGAAACATCTGGTCACCCTATGATTGTCTCCGTGGAGATGTTATTGCTTTGCCTGGAATGTTCCATGGTGTGACATTAAATATTTCCATCTAGCATTTATTCATTACAGGTGTTTCTATTGCTCAAAAATACAATAATTCTTCCTGTGAATGGGGCGACTCTTCACAGATCTGACCTGTAATGTAGTGTAGTGCTGTAAAATGTTTGACTATCTCGTGACAAACAGGGTTAATCTATACTGTGGAACATTCTAGACAAAGCTTTGTGGAAAAATATCAGTAGAATTATTGTACTTTTTTCTTTACTATATAATTGCTTCATATAGTTGACGTCTTCTGCATGTATATAAAGAAATAAAAAATAAAATGGTGTGTGCAAACTTTACACTTTACATTTGCATAATAATAGTTTTGGTTGTTTTTGTCTTACCCTGAAAAGTGGGATGTCCGCGGGGCCCAGACTGTCTGAAGCATCAGGATCTACGTTTCTCTGGAAGTGAAACAGGAGCCAGGCCCCAGCGTACAGAGTGATGTTGGCCACCACAGAGAAGGCGTACCTGCACAGAGAGACAGAAGCCACATCTCAATTCTCTTTCCTCGCTTCCTTCTTGATTCCCCTCCTTGACACAGGGAGGAGAGATGATCTAAACTCCTCACTGAGACCAATAAACTTTGATTCTTTTATCTGACGTCTGCTCCTGAAGCCTCCCTCAGGTTTATTTCTTCCTTGCGTGGTTTTCTTTGAGACACCACTTAATACGACACAATTGATTCACAGCAGAAAAATGGACGATCGAGGAGAGGAATCAAGGAGAAGGAAGCGAGGAAAGATAAATGAGACGCAGCCAGAGAGACAGAGCCCAGGGTTTGTGTGGAGAGTGTTTCTGGCGACATCTAGTGGTGCTTTTTGAGCGTATACCTTCTCTTTAGGACTGAACAATTTGTAAAAAAAAAAAAATGTATTTGCAAATTCTCTGTGAAGCATTTATTGAAAGTATGTTTTTGATGAGATAACAGGATTCTAACATGACTTAAAGCTCACAAGAATCAATTTTGCGTAATATAAAACCTTCAAAGGTGCATTGTGTAACTTTTCTGGTGGAATGTCTCTCATATTTGTCCATGGAGATGTTATTGCTTCATCTGGAATGTTTCACAGTATGGCATTAAACCTTTCTATCTTCATGGAGACCACACCAGACTAAGTTACAGGTCAGATCTAAAGAAAGGCAGCCTTGCTCACAGTCAGAATGTCTGGTTTTTTTTAGGCATTTTTGAGCTATAAAACCATCTGTAATTGAATACATTTAAGGCAGAGCTGTTTAATGTCATACTGTGGAACATTCCAGGCAGAGTAATGGTGTATCCATAGAAACACGCAGCTGACGGACAGTGCTCCTTTAATGTCTGAGAGAAGAAAACCTGAAATATGAACTGAACACTTGCATTCAATTCATCTTTGCAACCTACACGCTGCCCTGTGCTGCCAGAAACCTCCGCGTCATTTTAAACTCTCACCTCAGCTTCCACCTTCATATCAAAAAAGTCTCCCAATCCTGTTTTCTCCACCTCCAGAGTGTTAGTCATTTCTCATATTGTAATTTTGAGATATTTTGCATCAGAAGGATTAAAAATGCCACCACAGTTTGGCCCAAAACTAAATCAGCTGCTTATCCAACATGTGCAGACAAAACAACCCTCAGAGTTTTCCATAAACACTGATTTTTACATTTAAACGTACTTCCCTTTTCCAGTGAATTTCAGTTCCTTAGTTTTGGATTCTCTGGTATCTGGGTCTACTTTGATAAAACTGGTATAAGCAGCAGAAGATGGCACTTACAGTTTATTATTACTAATTTATTTACTGTTTTGGTTTTAATTGCTCATTTAAAAGAGCATTGTGTAACTTTTCTGGTGGTGGGTCCATCAAATGCATTTCTTCGTGGAACTTTTCACAGTATGGTATTAAACCTATCTTCACCAAACCAGACTAAGTTACAGGTCAGATCTATGGAGAGGCCGTGGCGACCCCGTTCTCAGTCAGAATGAATGTTTTTCTAGATGTTTTTGAGCTATAAAACCACCTGTGATTGAATAAATGTAAGCTAGAGCCATTTAATGTCACACTGTGGAACATTTCAGGTAGAGCAGTGACATCTCCATGGAAACAAGCAGGTGGTGGACCCACAACCAAGTTACACAGTGCACCTTCTAGTGATGATGGCCGGATGATTGGAGATTCTGACTGATTCTGATTCTTGGTCAGCTGAAGACTTTCCCAGCACAGCAATTAGTGCATTTAAAGCCTCATTGTGTAACGTTGTATCACATTTAGATAATTAAATTGTGTTATGACCCCAGGACTTTAGCTTTTTACCCTTTTTGTTTGTAATTGTGTTAAACTTGTATGTGAATCCTGATTGGAGGACTGGTTGCCTGCCTCTACCTGGGAGTGTTGCTGCTTGCTGGTTCCTGATTGGTGGAGGACCTCTACACCTGGCCAATCCCACCTCACCTGTTTAAGGAGATTGTTTGCATGTGTTTGGAGCTGTTGGTCTTTGTGGTCAGTGTGTGTGTTCGTGTGTCTCTGTCAAGTCTCTCATACTTGACTTTGTGTTTGTTTGAGCAATCCTTTACTGTATAATTAGTTTTCCTAGTTCACCTTGTCCTTTGATACTCTTTTGTTTAAAACCTTGTAAATTACCTTTTCTGTAAATATTTTGGATTAATTGGATTTTGTTTAATTTACCTTTACATTTCCTTTGTTTTTATTACCTCTCTGACCCTAGCGAGCTGGGTCGTAACAATTGTGAAATAATTAAGTTGGCTATATTTAGACATCTTGGTTGGGTTCAGTTTGATCCTGATATATGTAGACTTGGTCCTGTATTAGTTCTAGCCTACTCCAGGTTTAGTCCCTGGGTTAGGGTCTGTTTACATGAGAACGCTTGAGGGTAAAAATGACAGAATATTTTATCGGAAGTGCCTTTCATTTAGACGGTGGTGGCGTTTTTGGGGCTTAAAAATGCAAAAATTTGAAACCACCCTCCAGAGTGGAAAAGTTGAATACACTCCGCCGTAGCGTTTCTGTCTACACTGCCCAAGACGCAAAACTTTGGTCAGATCTGCTCACGTCGTATATGCGTTTACATCACTTACATCACATACATCACCACCTAGCATCACCACCGAGCCGCCTGGCATGCAAACACAATCAAATTCCACACACTTTTGCGTCACTCAAAAACGCTCGTCTAAACGTGGAGTAAAAAGTGAAGACGCGACGATACTGCCAGTTTTGCGTCTTCTGTTTAGACTGTCATCATATAAACGTGGCCTAATTTATTATTTTTCCACCTTGGATTTTGTTCCCTCTCTGACCTTAGCAAGCTTGAGCGTAGCAGTTGTGAAATAATTAAGTTATTACATTTAGACATGTTCATTGGGTTCTAGTTTGATCCTGATATATATAGACTTGGTCCTGTAGTCCTTGCCTAGTCCAGGATTGGTTCCTGGTTTAGTCCCAGTTTATCCCAAATTTCGATGTGTTGTCAAACCAAGTCTTCACCCAGATTATGGACTCTAATCAGGACCAACCCGGGACAAATGTGAAGTAGAGACTTCAACCAGAACCACAGGTACACAGAGCTCAAATATAACTTATAATTCTGTAGTTTTTCATCTGTAGGCTGTCAGTACATAACTGCAGGTACACAACCCTTATATAACTCTGTACATTAGTTTCACCTGAACGCTGTGAGCTCCACCTTGGCTCCCTCTGACGACGCCAGCTCTGGGATGAGTGACAGGTGAGAGATCTGCACTGAGGCCCATCCAAACTGGAACAGGATGACGAAAGGGGAGAAGTACAGGATCTGAGCCCATTCAGGCGTGGAGGAGCTACAGGCCAAACACGGGTTAAACAGGAACGGGAAGGAGAGCAGCACACACACTGTACCTGCAGGGGGCACAAGAGAGGGATGAGCAATGTAACAGAGGCAATTTATGTATTTCATTGTATTTCACACACACACATACATAATAAAAGTGCACTATGTAGATTTTCTGGTGGAAGGTTTGTCCATTCCCACCTGTTTATCTCCAGTTCAGTGTTTTTGTGTTTAAATCTACCATTTGTAATTAGACTGGCCGACCCACTCCGTTGTATTCTCACATATCACCACTAGAGACTATCTACATTACTACTGTCTGATAGTGCCTGTTTTGGCCTGACAAGACCAGAGAGCTGACCCTGCCTTCGATCCTTCCGAATTGGTTTTCTGAGGAAGTTGCCTAGCTGCCTTTTCCTGGGACGGCGTGACTTGGACCTCAGTGGCGGAAAAAGTAGACTGAATAAAGATTCCAAGTCGGAATCCAAAATGGCTACGCCCACTGTGACGTGTAAATATGAACTGTTTTCTTTGTGTTTGGACATTTCGGTGGTTTGGTATGATTTATGGGTTTGGTAGTCGGTGTTGTGGTGAGGCCAATATTGACCAAATACTTGACTTAACAGGCATTAACATCCCTAAAGTTGTAATGGAAGAGAAATCATCACATAAAATCAAAAATGTAATTAATTAAAGTGACAACTTTTCATAAGATAAGGGAATAGTCACAATCATAATGCACGTAGTCTGACATGCCAAACATAATAATACACTTCAAACTCGGATGTGACGTCAAATCCTAAGTCCAAGTGGGAGTTGGAAGATGATCGAATGGAGGGTAAGACTGAACAACTGTCATGTGAGGGAAACAGGTTTCACATCTGCTGGTATAAAATAATATCAAAATAAATGTACAGATGGAAGCTCTATTACTATACTAAGAGATATTTCAGGCAAAACAATAACATCTCCATGGAGACAAGCAGGTGGCAGACCTTTCACCACAAAACTTACATAGACCACCTGTACGGTAGACTATAATAAACTTTTTTTTTTTTAGGGTTTTTAATAATTATTTATGTCCAACATGATTCAATGATCCACTGCTTAAACTTTGATATTGCAAATTTAGTTTTTCAAGCCTAAATACTGAAGGAAAACTAGGCTAACACAAACCCTTTTAAATATATAAAAAGACGTAAGTGCACAGATTTATTCATTTCAATTCAGTTCACTGATGAGTTGAAAATAGACTTAAAGGTTGTATAGAGGATTTTCCAAGGAACGAGAAATCCAGCGACTGTTTGTCCTTTTTCAAATGTTGCGCATGCGTGAAACCACCCCCCCTCCCCTACAGCTCCTACGTAGAAACGGCTCCTCCCTCCTCCTCCTTACGCCAGAAACAGGTTTGTTTACAGCCAGTGCACTGCACATGACTTGTAAACAACTAACTACAGTGTTGGTTAGGCAAGATGGAGAAGTGAGGAGCCGGGGGAGCGGGTGCACGGACATTTCGTGCGCGGACGAGAAGTGAGGAGCAGGAGAGAAGAGCGGAGCAGGGAGCAGGGAGAGGAGAGAGGAGAGGAGAGCGGTGCGCGGAGATTCCGTGCCCGGAGAAGTGAGGAGCAGGGAGAAGAGCGGAGCAGGGAGAGGAGAGAGGAGAGAGGAGAGGGGAGCGGTGCGCGGAGATTCCGTGCCCGGAGAAGTGAGGAGCAGGGGGGAAGAGCGGATCGGGCAGCGGGGAGAGGAGCAGGAAAGGGGTGCAGAGAAGGTTGCGCGGAGATTCAGTGCGAATGAACTAGCTACAACACGCAGCAGCAAGCGGACTCTTTCTTTGCCTTGAAAATGACGTTTTCAGACATAGGATATCGCTTTCGTGTCCTGAAAAACGTTTGACTAGCTCTTGGAAATAAAGTACGTTTTCATAATAAGCAGAAGTGACCTGTCCAGGAGTAATTTGGCGACCAGTGCGTCAGTCTTTAGACCCTGCGTCTGCTTCAGTTGCGCCATCGCTGGAATGAATCTACAAGAATCACCTTAGTTTGGCTTCGCTGCTTTTCCCCTTGTCTTCTTCTTTCAGCAATCTCAAAAACGGACTTTCTTTTGCGGCTAACTGCTCCTGGATTCTTGTCTGCCATTGCAACAAACTTTGTGCGAACTGCGAGGAAGATATAGGTCAAAAAAGCCGCTAAGAACTGTTGCGTTGGTGGAGTAAACAGCGTCTGTGCGGCTTGCGTCTGTGGACTGCGTGACAGGCGTACGTAAACCACGTACCGGCGGCGGCGCGCAGGCAAGTCAGTTACGCTAGAAACGTAGGGAGTTTGATTGACAGCCTATCAGCTCACAGATAACGAGGCAGTGTCGTTATCTATTGGCAAATGTTTAGCCCCACCACGTCCAGAGTTGATGAATTTTTATTCTCTTTTTTTTTTGGTCATCATAATTACAAGGCTACTGCACCTCTATAATGCTATCATTGACAACTTGAAACAAAAAAAAAATCCTCCATACAACCTTTAATGGAAACAGTACTTCTGTATAGTCAGAACTAATTTAGCCAGTAAGACAATTTAGGCAAACACACCATTAGCATAATAGCATAGTTGCCTAAGTCACATTTGAACGTTTTCGAAAAAAAAAAGAAAAAACACATTTTTTAGGCACATTATAAAGTTAGGCAGATATCACGATTTAGCAGGAAAAAAAAAAAAGCAATTATATTATTAGGCTAACGATTTACCAAAAGTAGGTTATATGCATTTATTAGTCAATGCAAATGCCATCTTCAAACTATTTCCCATGGTTATATTTATCATTACTTCTCACCCATCCTGTCTTACCCAGTAAATGCCACGTCTTTCTCTTCCCAAGCCTCTTGACTCCCGGGACCCGGTCGGACTCGTACCCGACCAGAGGGGTGCACACTCCGTCCGCCACCTGCCCGAGCAGCAGCAGCGCTCCGGCCGCGGTGCTCCGGAAGCCCAGCACCGCGTGGAGGTACACGAGCAGGTACGTGAACCACAGCGAGGCGCACAGGTCATTCAGAAAGTGACCCACTGCGTAACACAAGCGTCTGCACAGCGGCAACGCGCGCTCCGGGACGGCACCCTGCTCCATCTGTGCACAACTTTATTTTATGTTTTACGCACAAAACGGTTTTACGCACAATACGGTTTTACGCACGACTAGATATCTGCATGTGTTAAATTTAAACGAACAAAAACTGCTGATATTAACGATTTAACATAGAAAAAAACTTGTAGCACTTGGATATTGGCAGAACATAATCTATACGAGCTGTAAGTTAAGACATGTTTGCGCAACGAACGTATGTCCATTCTGTCCATTTATAGTAAACGCAGCTCTAAAGCTTCATGTCATTTTGGTGACTTACAAAAACAGTAAAAACATGTGATCTACTCATATAGTTGCAAAACACACTTCCTCTTTCTAGTGCTCACATGATTCAAATATTCATGTTGGCGAAAATAGGATATTTACCTCATCAGACATAAACAAAAGGATGACATTATGAAGTGTAAACGCGTAATTCACTGCTTTTGTTTTAAACATTGCACCAGAATAGCTGTTTAACTGTGAGAATGCAGATTTGTTGACGTGATTTATGGTCAGTGATGGGAAGAAAATTGTTTTAGTTACAGAATACTGAATACCTGCAATAAACTGTATGTTGTTTTGGATTCTGATACGTTGTACAATCAGAGTACTGTGTTGTGAATACTTTGAATACTTTTACATATAGTTTATTTTAAACTAACTTTAACTAAATGCAAACCACAACTCAGAATTGAAAACAGCTTTATACTTGTTTCAGTTTGGTTTGCATTTTCTATTACTCATTTAAAGAAGAAAAAATCACACTTCAGTCTCACTCACCCCAAGAGCAGTGTTTTCTTTTTTCTCACTGGTTCTGTGCAGTTTGAAGCCTAAATTGTGAGCTCAAGTACTGCCATGTATTCTACTGGTTTTAGAAAAATATATAACTGTAAACTGAATACCGTAAATGAAAAAAGAACTGTACCAAAATAAACTTGGTTACTCTGAAGACATCTTCTCTGTACTATTCAGTTACTTCTGTTTATGGTTGATATCTCTGTAAATACTGGGTTTATCCACATGAAACAAAAACTGACAATGTCTTTCTTCTCTGTCAGTCTAAAAGATGAGCAAAAGTGAAATCATGTCACAGCAGTTTCAGAAAGTTGTGCCATCATTCAACCCTAAACACGTGACTGTTGTCAGATGAAAGAACTTTAAGCCATGCGGTTAATTTGGCAAGCTTATGAAGCTAATACCAAACAAATAATGATAAGGTTCAATATTTGTAGATCATAAGTTTGGAAAATTCTTTCAAAACAGTGAATCTACCAGAGAGATACTTTATAGTATATAGGCCTCTGCCCTCCGTCTGAAATTTAAGGGCCCATATTACGTTGCTTTCTGATCCACAGTATGTTATAATGTTGTTTCCTAATCACAAACATACACTACTGGTCAAACGTTTTAGAACATGACACTTTTTCCAGTTTTTTACTGTTTAGAATAAGTTTTGGTCAACAGTAAACATTTCATTCATGAAAGTGTCTTTGGCAGATATAAAAGCTGAACACACTCGTGGCAATCAAATATTCTTCAGTGTGGCACTTGTAGGTTGCTTCACTCTTCTGTCCAGTTCATCCCAAACCAGCTCCATGTGGTTGTGGCTGTGCTGGACACTCCATATTTTCAAGCTCATCATCTTGTTCTTTTTTCCTGAGGTAGTTCTGGCAGAGCTTGGACTTATGTATTGTTATTTTATCTTTGTTTTAACATCTGTCTGCTCAGTTCTTACCTCTGTACTATTTCAAGCTCTTCATTGGACTTGCACGACTTGAACTGCAATGAATAAATGGAAAAATTGGTGTGTTCTAAAACTTTGGACCGGTAGTGTAACTGGAGTTGTGTTTCGTTTCATTCACACATTTAACACAAACCTGGTTTGTGTTTAGGTTCTGTTCCACCTTGTGATGTCATGTGGTAATACAGGAAGTGCTCCACTGTCTTTTTAAGCTCCATACACCCTCAGTAGAACCATTTGGATTATTTCAGACCTGGAATTGCAAATCTTTACTGAACTAAAGACCGCTTCATGACATCACAAGGTGCAACAGAGCATTTTGATGTTTAGAGATGTAGACAAACTAATAATAAATACTCAAACGTGCGAATGAAACAAAACACAAATCTAGGTCTGTTTTTGAGGAGGTAACACCATATAAGACATAAAATTAATATGGCAAGTTTCTGAAGCTTATACATACAAAATAAATATAAACAAATAATGATAAGGTTCAACATTTGTAGATATAAGTTTGGAGATTTCTTTCAAAAACAGTGACTATGTTTTAACTCATAAAGTTATAAAGAACCCAAACACAATTGTAGCTCCACATTCACACGTATCACAGAAAACACCACAGAGCAAAGAGCTTTAAACATTTTACTTAGAAAGGCACAAACTATGATTTCCTGGTAAATTATTTTGATGTAAGAAATAAAAAAATGAAAGACATATCGTTTTTTCTCCATGTAACTCCACATTATTCGGCTGTAACTCAGATACATAAGCGTTGTGAAGACTCATCCTAGGTCAGTCTTTATTAAGTCATTTCCATAATTGTTAATTTCAAACCTAAACATCCACTGTCAATGTATTTCTGTGTATTTTTCTCCAAAAGTGCAATAATAATAATAATATAATAGTAAGAGAGCTTAATTATCAGTTCTTCTTGATCTTCATACACAGTACCTGAGGCCAGAGACTGTGCTACAAACGCCATATTAACAGACGAAAAATTCCAATCCAAGGAGCAAAATTGTCCAAAAACACTACGCCATAAAAATAAGTTTTCAGTTAAAGGTGCGTTGTGTAACTTTTCTGCTGGAACGTTTGTCAAATGCTTGTTTCCGTGGAGATGTTATTGCTTTGTCTGCGGTAATAAACCATTCTATCTTCATAGAGACCAAACCAGACCAAGTTACAGGTCAGATCTGTGGAGAGGCGACCCCGTTCACAGTCAGAATGTTTGTTTTTCTAGGTATTTTTGAGCTTTGAATTGAATAAATGTTAGGTAGAGCCGTGACATCTCCACAGAAACGAGCAGGTGACGGACCCCCAACCAAAAGCTACAGAGTGCACCTTTAAGGGATTTTTTTTGAAAACTGAGGATTGAATTTACAAAAAAACGAAAACAAAAATGACATAAAAATCCTCAAAATTTGAACAGATCCATCTCTCCACTCTTGATCCCACACCAAGGAAGTTAATCAACAAAATAAAAACACCAGGTACCACTTTAACAAAGGTCTACTCTTATTCTCTGGTTAAAACGGCCAGGAAATGCATTTTATTTTGAAATTCTTAGGTAGGATTAATGCTTATTTATTAATACATTAGTACGACGTGGCCATGGTTCTCTGTACTGCTTTAACAGGAAAAAGCGCGCCATTTTGAGGACCGTTCAAACCATTTCAAAAGATACAATATTTGGTTTTGAACTGTTAATCTTCATGGCAACAGTCCTAACTTTTAATCATTCTGAAACGCATGGATTGTTTTTAATGAAACTGAAAAATGTTGTTTTATTCACAACTTCAAACCTTAAATTAGGGCTATGAAACTGATTTTTGAATTTTAATCAAGATTCAGTCATTTCTATTTGTCCAAGATCAACTGGGGTCTTTTTTAATAAGATAAAATAAAACTGAATCACTACAAGAAAAACTATTTATATATATTTTTTTATAATTTCGTCATATCGGACTCTTAAATAATGAAAGCGTTTTTTTACTTTTAAATTTCGTTTCAATCAGAAAGCAGAATGAGCTCTTTTGATTTGGGTTGCCAGATTCTACAGCTAAACCATCTTTTTATTTACCAGTATTCAAGGACATGGCTCAGTTTGCACTTCTATTTGTGGAAATAAATAAATGTAAAGCTGGGTAAGAGGCAAAATTTGCTTAAAATTCAAAAAAGGTATTCCGAACCCTGTAATCAATATTTTCCGCGCAAATCATGAAATTAAAGTGTAAAATCGATGTCATTTCTTATATTTTTCCAGCTAGTAAAACTAAAATCACATAATTGGATCAGCAACAGACCACCACTGCCGCTTTAAATCATTTATATTATGTTTAAGACCTAAAAATACCAAATAATGATCCCATTTTCAACTGTAAATAAAAGCAGACTGACTGTAAAGTGGTACCCAGTTACTTTAGGAGTGTTTTCCATTCACTCGCATTTGCCCTGAACAATACAAGTCCGTTATGGAATCTAAATACAACTTTGTCATTTTCACGCCACATAGTTTTGTAGGTTTTACAGCTTTAAATCGTCACTCCCCCACATTTGTAGTAATAAAGTTTTTCAAAAGGAATCAAAGTCTGTTGTGGAGTCAAAGAGGACCTCAACATTCCTTTAGAGAGAGAGAGCGCGCACAGGGGTGAACGTGGCAGGAGGAGGGGCAGGTGGGGTGTCTGGGGGCAGGTTGCTGGGGTGGGTTTGGTGGTGGTGGCGGTGAGGGGTGGGGTGGGGGGGGTGTAGTTGCTTCCATTTAAAACGCGACAGTGACCACAACAATTCAAGTTCCAAGCTTCATTTGTGCCTCTGCAGAGCTTTCCTCTTTCTCCTCTTGAAGAAACAACAGCACCTAAAAAATGGAGGAAGTCAGATTTTAATAGACAGAAATTTGAAGAGAAAAAAATGTATGAGTGACAAATTTATGTAGTGGAAATATTGATTTTTAAAAGAGGCGGCCAAAACGTAGCTCAACATTTCTGCATACCACTTGTCCTAACCCACTACAGTTGAAAAATACTGGAATATTTTATTGGTATCAGACAACAGCACCGATATTGAACATTTTGGTTTCAGACGATATCCCATGTTATAATATATATAGTGATTTACTGTCCAGTACTGTCCAAAAACATCTCATAATGTTTAACTTGAATTATAGTTACAAAACATACTTGGATAATATTTTACCTTATGCTGTTTGTGTTTAAAGGAAATAAATGTTATTTTCAGTCCCTGCCCTAGTATCGGTTGATAATGGGTATCAGCAGATATTGATAAAACCTTGATTGGCGTGTCCATAAATCTCTAATGATTCCATTCATCAGAGATGTAATACTCAAGTCATTAATGTGACTGAAGACTAAACTAAACTAAAATGTATGACTCATGACATTCATTGGTGGTACTAAGCTACTATTGAAGCGAGGCCGTCAATCTGAGCTGTTTATGGCTATGACCACCACAACACACATTCATAGTAGGCAATGTGAGAGAAGTGTCTTGCCTAAGGACACAGAACTTGGTCTGAGTGGGAATCGATCCTCCAACCTTAGGGTTGGGGACCACTGGCCCTGACTTATGACTTTCTAACTGGCAGAGACTTGACTTGTGGTTCAGGCTCAAGGGCCAAAGGACTCCAAATCGTGACATCTCCTAGTCTTTGGCACTGGCACTGGCAGAACCTAAAGCTGCAGTAAGTAACTTTTCTGCAAACCACCAGAGGCAGTTTGAGAACACTGATCTATTAAATCTCTTAAAACAGTAAAATTGTGTGATTGAATCCAGAGGAGTGAGTTTTACATTGTGGTTTCGTACTTGGTTTCGTCTGCCACCTCGACCTCTGTTGCCGCGGTGATGGGGGCGTTGGAGTGTACCGCGTCATCTGTGTTCAGCTCTCCGTTTGTGGAGCTCATCACCTGCACCGAAACAAAGGCAAAATATTTACAGACAATTCTATATGAATACATATAAAAAATAAATGGTAAAACAGTAGAATATATACAGTACTGTGCAAAGGCAGGGTTTAAAGAGCTGTACTCGGACTACAGCGAGACACTGCAGACGGAACTCATTTTCTGTTGTCATTTTGCTCTCTTTAGATATAAGCTTTCATATAGAAAAACCACAGCAGGGGCCAATTTGCACCTGAAGAGGTTTTATTACACCCTTTAATTCACTTGCATCCACAGATTTATATAAAACACTGTTAATTCAAAGGTTATATTCTCAAAATGCTTTTCTCACATAGGGACATAACAATCACTCCTTAAAACTGGACAAAATTACATCTTTATCAATAATTTACAGATCTAATTTACTTCAAACGTTATGTAAAATCCTGTAATTTTTGTTGTTGTATTTAAAATGCCAAAAAAGAAAAAAAGAAAAAAGAAAAAAAAAGCTCTATCAATTTTTGAGATTTAAATACCCCAAATATGTGGGGTTTTGGTCAATTTTACACATAAATGATCTTATTTTGATATAAAAATAAAACTTAGAATACACTGAGTAAACTACAGAGATTGTCAAATTGATATCTCCAGTTTGTTTAAGATTTTTTCCGATCCACCTGCAGTGCCTCGCCTTACTTTTGTATTATTTGACATCATATCTGTCTTTCAATCTGCCAGAAACCTTTGTACAGCATTGTGTATAATTAACTCTCAGTCTCCCACCTTTATCCCAGAAAACAAAACAAAAAAACAACTGCTGTAACCCAAAGTTTAAAGAGCAAACCCCGTCATCCAACACAAGGGGGCGTATTTGAGCCTTGACAGTTTTACCTCTCAGTGAAAGCCTGTTTAAATCCAAGGCAAAAGTGTATGAAAAATGTACTATAAATTATTCTTGTTAATTGCCAAGGTTCATTTACACGGTGGGAAGAATATGTTAGAACAACAGTATAATAAAGGTTTGTAAATTAATTTGAAAAAAATAAAAAATATGTATATGTCTATCCTATCTAGACTATATGGATAATTTAAAAGCGCACTGTGTAACTTTGTGAGGTCCGCCAGCTGCTTGTCGCCATGGAGATGTTACAGCTTTGCCTGGAATGTTACACAGTATGGTATTAAACTATCTTGTGTTTATTTCAGTTATTTCAGTCCTTGAAAAACATTAAAACATCTCTACGGACTGGAGATAACCAAATGGTGGATACTTAAACAGAAAAGTTACACAGTCCACCTTTAATTTCTTATATTAAAGATGACAGACCTATATACAGACATGCATGTGAAGGTGGGAGAATTGCGTTTCATTTTTTTATGATGTTTTTGATAACTACTAGATCCTGTAAAGAAACAATAAAGAAATAAAAGACTGTCACTTTTACTACCACTACTTGGTTTTATTGCTGCTGTAATCTCGCTATAATCTCCTTATTAGAGCCTTTCTCTGAGCAGCCAGGCATTTGAAGCTTTAAAGGTGCATTCTGGAACTTTTCTGATGATGGCCCGGCCGCCTGCTTGTTTCCACGGAGCTGAAATGCCGAAAATGTTCCACAGTATCGCATTAAATAATCTTAGTTGTTTAAAAAACAAAAAAAACAAAAACGTATTCTATCTGTTGCTTCTTATGTTATGATATGTTTAATGCCATTCTGTGGAACATTTCAAGCTATAATATCTCCACGGAGACAACAAGCAAACGGTGGACCCTCCGCGTGAAAAGTTACATAGTGCAGCTTTAATTTGAGCGAAAATAAAAGCTTCTGACGTCGACTGTTTGGGGGCGAGGAGATGCGAAGACCGAGGCAGGCAGTGTGTGTACAGTCAGTGTGAGAGGGGAACCAAAAACCAACACAAGCAAAAAGAACAAATAAAAATAAATAAAACATACTATTAAAGCAGCATGCACTAATCTCCAGCAGTTAGCATTTAGCATTAGCATTAGCAGCAGGTACCTGTACAGAGCCCCCCAAGCGCTCAGCTGTGAGGTGGGACCCCAAAGTCTCCTTAGTGGTCACTGGGGTGGGCTGAGACTCGCTTCCTTTGGGCTCTGGCGACTTCACGCAAAAAGTGCAAAACAAAACAAAAATAAGGGACAGAGCCAGTGTGAGGGAGAGGAGGAGGAGGTGAGGAAGAGGTGGTGAGGAGGAGGAGGAGGGAGAGGAGAGGGTGGATTGGTGTAAAAAAAAAGAAAAAGAAAAGAAACAAAAAGAATAAAAAATTATAGAAGACATTTCCCAAGCAGAAGCAGGCTTGTTAAGACAGACTATGTTAATAAGAGGAGGAAGAGGGGAGCAAAAATTATCGTAGTGTAAGCATAGATCAACACATCATGCAGGAAGGACGGAAAACAACTCAGGTCCACTTTAAATTGCTTAAAAACATTTAAAGGAACAGTGCGAGGAGTGGCCTACCTGTACATTATGAGCATTTTATCAGAAACTTTAGTCCAGAAGAGTAAATATCGTATTAACCAATCACAAGACAGCAGTAAATGGATTTAAGCTTGTTGATATGATTCAATCCGAGATAAAAAAGGGTAATAGCTTTAATATTACTTTTGAAAGGTTCTACATTACACAAAATTGACTCGTGAGAGATTTAAGTCGTGTTATAATGTTGTTATCTCATCAAAAACAGACACACGTTTGAGTAATCCTGCATTATTAGTCGGTCTACATCTCCAAAGCTCATCGTGTTCTGTTCCACTTTGTGATGTCATGTAGTGGTGGTTTTCAATTTAACTGCTACTTTTTACCTTTTGCTCAGTAGAGATTGGCAATTCCAGGGTTGAAATTAAGGTTGTGCAATAAATCAATAATTCATTTTGATATCGATTTCGATTTGTGTGTCAAACAATCTCCAAACTCATATAATTGAGTTGAAACGATTTAAAGCTTAACAAAGGTTATTTTGGGATATTTTTTTATATAAATAAATATATTTATTTTATTTTTTAAATATATAAATTGTAGAACAGTATAGTTTATTTTGGACATATTTATGTTTTTCTATGCCTTATTTCATGTTCAAAGTATATTTTATTCATTTATGTTTTATACATCACAAAACTGCTTTAAAGTACAGATTTGTAGCCAATAGGGGTGTAAGGATATCCAAGTCTCACAATACGATATTGTCACAGTATGAACCTCAAGGTATGATATCGTGGGAAAGTTCACGATATGGTGGGGAGGCTCACAATTAGGGATGTAACAATATCCAAATTTCTCAGAACGATATTTTCATGATGTACATCTCACAGTAATATTTATTGCAATATTGTGTGGAGGCAAACAAAACTGTGAATATTCAACTTTTTTCTCTTAAAATGCCTTGACAAGACTTAATCCAAAGAACTAAGACTTAAAAGTGCTCAGAACTGTTATTTCTTCTTGTAGTCTGCACTGAAAAATGGAGCAAAGGATCATGGTCTATGTAGTTCCCTCTGTTTTTTCTAGCTGTTGCTGCACCACAACTCTTAATTTAAGCAAAGAGACTTGTAATTCGATATATTGTGATGGTCCATGATATTATTGTGAGAACTTTGACGATACGATATCACAATATTGTGGTTATTGTTACATCCCTAGTAGCCTGTATTTATTATTTATTTTTTAATTTAAAAGTTTTGCGTAAATTTTCAATAACACAGTTAGTTTGTTTTTTGTTTAGATTTTTTGAACGAGAGAAATGCTGAATAAATGCATTGAATAAATGCATTGTGCAACTAAAAAAATTATTGTTTCAATAATTGTGATTTCAATATTGTCCAAAATAATCATAATAATGATTTTTTTTTTCCATAATCGAGCAGCACTAGCTGAAATGATCCAGATGATTCTCGTGAAGGTGTATGAAGTTTAAAAACACAGTGGAGGTGGAACAGTGTTTTCTGTTTGAGAGAAGAACTCAGCCTAAATATGCAGGATTTGTGTGATAAACATTTTTGGGAAGGAAACAACATTATATCATAATTTCTTTATATAATTTAAACATATTTTTGCATTTGAAAACACAATGATTTTATTTCTTCTTTTTACATTCACAATCCTAAATTCTTTTATAGACAACAAGTTAGGAGAAATGAGATGCTTAATGCTATAATAGTTCTCATGAAACCACGTCACTGCTGTTACGCCAACTGGACAATGGACTCGAGATTATTCCCATATTAGGCGCTTGATTTGAACTTCAGCCAATTACGCGTCACGCGTCAACAGCCCAATCCGTAAATCGTACCTGCCCATATTTATAACCCAACAGAGAGCTCACGTGGATTTAATAACAGTAAATGATGTTGATGTTTAAAGGTCCTGTATTACACAAAATTGACTCTTATAATCTTTTAAGTCATGTTATAATGTTGTTACCTCCTCAAAAACAGACCTGGAGTTGTGTTTTGTTTCATTCATGCATGTTTGAGTAATCCTGCATTATTAGTCTGTCTAAATCTCCAAAGCTCAAAATGCTCTGTTCTATCTTGTGATGTCATGAAGTGGTAGTTTTCAAGTTAACAGCTACATTTTACTTTACTTTACTTCAGTAGAGACAGGCAATTCCAGGGTTGAAAATTGCTAAAAATGAAAAGCACTCAGCCTAAAATTGCAGGATTTGAGTGTTAATCATGTGCAAATGAAACAAAACACAACTTCAGGTATGTTTGTGATGAGGAAACAACATTATAAATAAAATTAATCAGAAAATAGCATAATATGAGCCCTTTAATTGTACTTCCCTGGATATAATATATTTACTGGTAGGTTACTGATTATTGCGTCAGCCACTGTGATGTCATGATACTAAAATTTTAAACTTGATTTCAATACTGATAAATAGACTCAAAAGTACTTTCTTTTATATTCCCATGTGCTCTTATATCTGTGTAATCTCTCAGTGGTCCAGGTAGGTTCCATAATGGTCCATGGGTGTATACTAATCTATGTGATCTTATACAGCTCAAGATCATTCTATATATATTCAGAAAAGCTTCATTTCTGTCCTGTGAATGTGACTTTTTTAGTATTGATACCTGCTCAAATGAGGATCTAGATTTAGTATGGATTAGTGTCTGATTTCCGATACTTCTGACAGCCCTAGTACATAGTCTAGTACATAAATATAGAGCAGTGTGTGTCTTTTATCTTTAGTGTTGAACCAGGATGTGTTGATTTCATTGTACAGTAAGTGAAGGCGGGGCGTGTTCTGTGGCGTGTTCTTACCAAACCAATCAAAGTGTAAAATGGAGGAGCCATAAAAGAGTCCAGAGTCCAGAGTCACAGGTCGCTCATAAAACTAATGCATTTGGACATGCGGTTTTACAGGAAACATCAGAGGACACAGGGTTTATACTGTGATACTGCATGTGGAGATCTGAGAGTGTTGGGTTATCATTTAAATGGGCTAGTGAATATTGTTAAATGTATTGATACTTTGCAGTGACATCACACTGGGCATCAGGTGTGGGCAATTGTTTTTTCCATGGGGCAACATGAGAAACAGAAAATATTGTGGAGGGCCGGGCCAAAATGCTTAACTCAATTCTGCATATTATTAATTGTATTTCTTTATAAAAAGCAGTAAATAGCATTGTTTAGACAAATTGGTGAGACTGGGAAGAGTTTATGTTATGACTAGGGATGTAACGATATCCAAATCTCTCAGTACGATATTATCACGATATACATCTCAATTTGCAAAATTTTGGACTGGCAAATATAATTCTAGATAGGATGCTTTTTTGCTTTTGACCTTGACAAGAATGTGGTGTGAATTATTACTGTCAGAATCTAAAGAATTCAAGTAAAAAACATATTTCTTCATGTTGTCTGTGCTGAAATGAATCATGGGAAACGTAGTTCCCTATGTTTATTAGCTGTTCCTACTAAAAAACAATGCATTTAAGCAAACTTATAATTTGATATATTGTAAAAGCTCTACAGATATTGACTAAATATTGATTACTTCTGACAATACGATATCATGATATTTCAGTTTTTGTTACATCCCTAGTTATGACTAAGCAATGAAAAAGTGAGGTTGCCTTACAAAAAATGTCATTAAAAAATACCTATAAAATAAAAGCAAATCTGTTTATTTTGTAATTCCAAATGAGCTTAAATGGGCCGGTCAGTCAGCCAAAGGTCTGTATGTGGCCCGGGAGCTGTGCAATGCCCAGGTCTACATGCATTTTTACTGCAAAATGTTCAGCAGTTACTATGGTGACGGGATGCACACGTTAGCAATCACAGACAAAAAAGTCTGAAAACTCTAGGAAAAAAAACAACAAAAAACTAATTTTCAGCAGCCTCTGATCAATACAACTGTTGATGGTCCTGATTAGGTATTTGATTTTCAACAGAGAAGGTGAGAGCGGCTGAAAACTGTTGACTAATGCTGGCTAATTTGTGACTGTAATTTCAACTGAGAGGAACTTGTTTAACAGCACACATCAGCTCACATGATGTAGTCCAGGCTAAGTCTGTTCTTTATGGTCAGATTAAAGTCTAACTTTGGTAACATCTTAATTGAAGACAGAGCAGTGCCCGCAGTTAGCATTACAATGTTAATGACATCAGCTGCAAAGTACCAATACACCACAACTGTGTCACTCCCTGTGAGACAATAGGAACATATAAGGAGTATGTGATTACGGGATGAACTATTCCTGAACGTCCTGTTTTGCTAAACGGTGCTAAATATTTTCAAACAATCACTTGACTATTCGTTAGAATTTGTTATAAGAGTGAAAGCAATTATCAGTGCCAGACTTACAGCATGTATTCTAACATTACCAAACATTGCACTGTGAGTCCTATGAATCAATACTATATCGTATCGTGACATACTTTGTGATTTAAAGGTCCTATACTATGAGAAATTGACTCTTGTGAGCTTTAAGCCATGTTAGAACATCATTACATCCTCAAAAACAGACCTGGAGTTATGCTTTGTTTCATTCACACATTTTTGAGTAATCCTGCATTATTAGTTTGTTTATCTCCAAAGCTCAAAATGCTGAGTGCCACCTTGTGATGTCATGAAAAGTTAACCTCTACCTTTTACCTTTAGTTCAACAGAGAATGGCCACATTTACATGATGTTTTCTAATTCCAACTTAATTGTTCTGAATTAAATAGTTTGGAATTAAAATATTCTCCTTCGATTTTACATGGAAATAATAATTCTGAGTTGAGGTTTACATAGAAAACACGTTAAATCGTCTTTATTTAATTCCGCTCAATGTCTGAAGGTCTGGAAGAGTTCTGATTGGACAGGGACATGAACGTATTTACATCAACTGGAAGAAAACACACACTTCAGCTGCTACCGGCTTTGTCGTTACACCACAGACTCAAACATGATCCAAACTTTTTTCGCAGTCGGTCTGATGATAATTGCGCTCTCATCACGCTTTATGTCTGTCAGTTGAGGAGGAGAAGGGAAGAGTGTCGGAGAAGGGAGGAAGAAGACAAACTTAGTCAACAGTTGCTCTACCTCAGCCCACTCCCACATCCCACTCACAAATCCAAAGAGCAATGGATGAAAGTCGGAAGCCAGGACTGGTGGAGCTGGATCGTCCAGATCGCGTCAGAAGGTCGACCCAACGAGCATGCGCTGAATGACTGGGATAATTTGTAAGAAGACTAAACGTTTACCAGATCAAGGAATAAATTAATTTGGTTTTAAAATCGGAATAAACCACACGCTTACACTTTTTGTGTAAGTGTTTACATCGTCTTTTCAAAGTGCAATTAATTTTTATTCAGAATTAAATTATTTTTATTTGGAATTAAAGCTCTCATGTAAACATTGTAAATGTCAGATCCAGGGCTGAAATTGTAAAAATAAAAACAGTTCTAATAAAGGCGTATGGAGTATAAAAACACAGCAGCACTTCTGTATTCCCGCACGACATCACAAGGTGGAACAAAGTCATTTTTATTTCAGATAGGAATTCAGCCTAATTCTGCAGGGTTTGCGTGTTGAACGTGTGTGAATGAAACAAAACACAACTCCAGGTCTGTTTGTGATGAGGAAACATTATAACATAGATCATAAAATAATAACAATAATAGTGATAAAATAGTGTCGTATGGGCCCTTTAATCCGCTAACATGTACTACTCTACAACCCTGTACATGTAGATCTCATCATCGGTTGTATGAACTGAAGCAATTAGCATTTTCCACTCATGCAGCAGTGACTGGGATTCAGAGTGAAAAGGTGTGAAGAATAAATTAAAGCTAGAGCTGCAGTTTGATCGCCGTGACAACAGAGACTACAGTGAGGTTGCCAGGTTGCTCGTTTAAATATACTACGGAGGACATGTACAAGTATTTATTTGAAGAGATATCTGTTATTTATAACGGGTGTAGAATAAACTAGCAACCTATAATAGTATTCGACCCTTCCCACTCCGGAGAAGGAGAAATGAGAGGTGTAAGAAATGTGTTATATTTTTTAAAATCTTGTGACAAAGTGTTAATTGGTTGCCATATGTGCAGCAATCGTATTTCATTTAGGCCTGGGATCACTTTACTCTAGTTTTACACGCTTCCTGTTACATGGCACCATTTTGAGGATGGTTGACAATTCAAAAGATATCACAATTTGTCTTGAATTGTTAATTTTAGGGGTGTAACGATATCAAGTCTCATGATACGATAGAGTAACGATTGCAATATCGTGGAAAAGCTCATGATATGGTGGGGAGGCTCATGATTAGGGATGTAACAATATCCAAATCTCTTGGTACAATATTTTCACGATATACATCTCATGGTACGATATTTATTGTGATATTTTGTGGAGGCAAAACTGTTAATATGCTACTTTTTCCTCTTAAAATGCCTTGACAAGACTTAATCCAATGAACTAAAATTTAAAAGTGCTGTTAAAAGAACTGTTATTTCTTCTTGTAGTCTACACTGAAATGGAGCAAAGGATCATGGTCTGTGTAGTTCCCTCTGTCTTTTTTTAGCTATTGCTGCACCATAACTTTAAATTTAAGCAAAGAGACTTGATATATTGTGATGGTCCACGATATTAATGTAAGAACTTCGATGATACGATATCACGATACGATATTCACGTTATTATTACATCCCTAGTTTGTTGGGCAAAAGTTCTAACATTATTCAAGACCTGTGATACCAAATATGAGACTTCTTTAGATTTGTACGTATATAATTCTAAAATATTTTCAGCATGTTTGAATTATTTTAATACTACTAATACTTTTAAGACTTTACTCCCTTCTCTTTCTTCATAATAGTGTGTTCTGATTTTCTCTCCTGTACATATGTTCAAATATTTAAATTTTTAAACCCCTTTCAATGTGTGTGTAATCCTTAAAGGTGCACTGTGTAAGTTTTCTGGTAGAGGGTTCACCACCTGTTTGTTTCTGCAAGGATGCGATTATTTGCCTGAAATGTTCCACAGTAGAGTATTAAACGTGTCTATTTTGCATTTATTCCATTACAGATGTTTTATTGCTTTAAAATACCAAGAAAAACTGACATTCTTTTTTAAATTTGTGACCTGTATCTTGGCCTAGTTTCGTTTCTGCTCATAGACACAGAGGAGCTTAATGCTTTACAGTGGAACATTCCAGGCAAAACAATAACAGCTCCATGGAGACAAGCTGTTGGTGGAAAAGTTACACACTGTACCTTTAAGGAGAGTGCACGTTTCTGTTAAATATTAGATATTTTGTATGGAAAAAGCTCAAAATGTTGCATAATAGAAAGCTGGAATCCTTGAATGTATTTTTCCAAACATGATTGAATTTAAATGTATTATTGAGTGAAGCAGCCCTTGCGATGGAACAGGACTTGTTTTCTGGTAAGGTGCTCACAGCGGACACATGAGGAGAGGAGGCTGCTCCGGGATGGGCAATGCTTGTGTCTTAATGAATGAAGTGATAAATGTAGCGTGCATATTCTGTGTGTGTGTGTGTGTGTGTGTTGTGTGCGTACTGACCGGGTTTTTGGTCTGCTGCTGTGCTTTGTCTCTGCTGGGCTGGACGGGCGTGTCACTGGGGATGGGGCCTATAGGAGTGGGCTAAAGGAAACACAGACACAGGTGTTAAACTTATTTCATCACATCCTTCCTCTTCCTCCGCCTTTGTCTGCGTTTGTTTAACATGAAGGCTCCTCTGGACAATCGAACAATGGGCTTCACAACTGTAGCTTATGTGGCGGATAAACTGTACAGTAATTACAATAAACAGATTTCTAACATGCCACAAAACAGACAAATAATGCTCATAAATGTATTCACTATTATTTATTTCCAGAGCAAAATACTGTAAGTTGCAAGTTAATTATAATACGTTTCTATAAATATTTATTAAAGATGGCCCACATAGACTAGTATACACTCATGGACCACTTTAAACAACTGATCGATTACACAGATAAAAAAACACATGGTAATTAAAGAAAGCACTACGATTTAATGTTGAAAATGACTATTCTGATGTCTAAACTATTCCTAGTGTCGTAATCGAGTTTGCCATTTTAGTATCGTGAGAGTTTGATAACAGAATGCGATGTATAATTCCTTTTTTGGGTGTATTGTTTATCAGTACATGGCCATCCTGACTAGTCACACACACTACAGGAGAATTTGCCCGATTTTGGTTGCAATTTCTTTTCCCCGAGTTCGGAAAGGCGTGACCAGACTTTTTGTCTTTGTGTACAATTTTGAAGCAGTTGCACTCTTCGTGTATGGTGTCCGTGTCAAATCGTAACCACCAAACATCAGCAACGCTACGGTAACAGCCAATAAAACAGAGCGTCAGGGGCAGAGGGGTGACGGACACAGAGATGCAACATACAAACTCAGGATACAGCGAAAATAATGAGAAGACTTTATTGTTCACCTCTTGTAAAGTGGTAAATTTAAAGTGCAGCATCTCATCCACATTATCCATAGAAATTGTCCCTAACCCAAATAATGATATCCAGTCCACAAAACAATGCTGTTAATCCAGTTTGAGGCGTTCTTTGAAAGTCAAAAGGTGAGAGTAGTTCCTCATGTGTGTCTGTTTACATTCACACAGCGCACGGATCGAGGTGAAGCTGCAGATTAGCGATATAAACTCTACTTCCTGTGGACTTTATCTCCAATCATTTGTGCTTTAAAATTCATGTATCTGAAGTATTGCACCACATTTCACAAATAATAATAACACAGTTTTGACTTCTACTTTAGATACAAGTGCAGTGCTCTGATCTTTTGAACACTTAAGAGTTTCAAAGCGAGTAGTTTTACTGTAGACAAGAAACAGCTGACCTGATCAAGCTCATAAGATTCTCCTCATGTCTGTGGTGTGCGCTTTTTGTTGCATGTTTAAAATTCTTTTAAGACCAAAAAATCCTGTAGTGTGTGGCGGCCATAAAATTGTAAAACAGAGCTGGTGTACATGAACCACTTTGGCAGTAGCTTTGATAGAAGATTACTCTAAAGTCTCAGTTGTTTGTCAAAATAAAATAAGGGTATTAGCAATAACAATATAATATTTAAAAAGGTGCTGTACCTGATTTTTGCAGTTATATAAAATTAAAAACAGAACCAGTTAATTTTTAATGGTTTGTAGTGGTACAAAATTTTCTTTTGTTCCTATCCATTTTTGAGCATTCTAATTATTCACCAAGATTACTTTATAAGTGTGTTTCACAACTTTCAGCGACCAGAGCGGAGTTTCCTTGTCATTGCCTTGCCTTGCTTTACTTCCTGGTTTGCTGTCTATAAAAAAAGCGTTATAATTCGATGCACATAGAACAAAGGGGTCTCATTTTGACCCGAAGAGCTGCTTTTACAATTTATCTGTACTGGGGTAAGACAAATTTAACTATATTACTTTGATAAAATCAGGTAACTTCAGGTACAGTCCCTTTTAAGCCGTGTAAATAAACATTAAAACAGTGTAGGATACTCACTAGTGACTTGCCGACCCAGTCATACTCATAATCAAAGACAAAGCCGTTTCTATCGAAGAGGTCAGTGAAGAGCTTCCTTAAGTAGTCGTAATCCGGCTTCTCAAAGAAATCCAGTCTTCTCACATATCGCAGGTAGGTGGCCATTTCTTCTGTAACAAAGAATATGTCAAATATGATTCGGACAAAGCTTTATTAGGGTTGGGGGGGGGCTCATCTGGAGAGACAGACCTGGGAAATTTTCACAAAGAACTTCTATTGGTGTGGCCCGTTTGGTGTCCCCGATTTTCTGGTACCGCTCCTTCAAAGTGTCCGCCTGAAAAACACAAAATCAGAATATAAGTTATGGGAAAAACAATGCTAGGATACTTTGAACAGCTGCTGCAACATTTTAGGCCCTGGAAAAACAAAAACAATCCTTGTTTTATGCTAATTATTAATAAATTAAACATTTTATTAAATTCAACTGTGTCTACTCTTTCAAATATAGCAGAGTTAGGCTTTAAGGAGCCATTGTGTTTCTATATCTGTAAAAGTAAGGCAAGATTAAACCTTTTCTTGGCAAAATGCAGTTGAATCACTTCTGTGTATTGTATTGTGTAGGTCATATTGAACACTTCTATATTATACTGACTTCAGCCATGTTCTGAAACAGCAACAACAGCCCAGCAGCGAGTTCTAACACTATACTGGCCTATGCCATCAACAGAGTAGCAGTATAACATATAAATTCTATATGACTGATGGTGACAGAGTGCATTTAACAGCCCACACATGCAACACTATAATCAGCATATGTAACCAGAGCAACTGTATAGACGAACAGATGCTAAAACCATGTATTATGTAAAACATAAATGAATAACATACAATTTATACAATCATTTTGAAGACTTTTCACCATTTAAGAGGTTTTTAGTTGTTAATTGCTATGAGAAAAGACCTAATTTTTCATCTCATTCTGAAACAGATGGACAGACTAACACCACAAGTGTTGGGCGTTACAGTAACGTAACTACTTTTTTTTCCCCGGATAAAAATAGTGTAACGTGCTACGACTGAAAATTTTGATATTGTTCCTTTCTCAATCCGGCGCAGCGTTACTTTTCTGTGTACATGAGCGCAGCGGGCACTGATCCCATGACCCCGGGAAGAGGCGAGGTCCAGGCAGGAGGAGATGTAAAGCACGCAGCCGGACCATCGTATCACCTTCACCTCGAGCCTTTCCTGGCCAACCTAGAGCTGGTCTTGGCACACCACCTTGGAGGAAGTGCGGGGGCCAGCAACACCCAGGGAGAGGTCGCTAGAGGGGATCCTCCCGTACCGAGTGGTCATCCCTTGCCTGCCGAGTTGAATCCCCCGGGTGGACTGCGCATACTCCACCCAATTACCTCTTAACGGTTTCATGTCCTCTTGAACCCTCTCTTCAAAGTTCTTATCAACTTTCTCTTACGGAACTTGTCGACTATCAGTCTCGTGCCGGTATTTAGCCTTAGATGAAGTTTACCACCAAAAAATTACCAAAGCAATGGGTAATGGAAAAAACTACTTTCCATAGAAGATAACTAAGTAAAGTAAGGGATTACTTACTAAAGAAGAAATGAGTAACAAACACTACTTTTTTAAAGTAAAATCCCCAACACTGATCACCACTAACATGAAAGGTCTTAGATGCACATTGATAATTGCTAAAACTTAAATAATTAGCTAATAAGAAAAACTTATAAAAAACACAAAAAAATAACTATATAAAACTGAGGCTTTATACTGGCTACAGAATAAGGAACAAATAGTTGTACAACACAGACCACTGTACACATTGGTGCATAAATGAGTCCAACTGGCTCCTCTCCTGGAACAGTTCAATTATAACATGTTGATGACAAGTGCTGACTAGTGTTGTTGTAGCTGAATGAAAGAAAGCATTGAGTAGAGATGCACAGATCCAGCTTTTTCTGTTATAATTGATACTTTGCAGCTGGGGGTGTTCTGCCTGTGTGTTTCTGACAGAATATTCACAAGTTATCATGGAGACACAATGCACACATTAGCAAACACTGCCAAAAATATTAAGTGAAAGTGAAAATTCAAGAAGAGGAGCTTGTCATCAGTCTGAGCGTTCATGGTCCTGTTTAGAAGTTTAGTTTGATTTTCAATAAAAAAGTTGAAAGTGACTGGCTTCTGACTGTAATGTTATTAAACAGAGACTTGTTTAACAGCACAAATCAGCTCGACTGCTGTAATTCCAGCTAAGTCATTTCTTTCTAGTCAGATTGTGTTAAAACAAAGCTCAGATTAAAGTCTAACTTGAGTAACAGAGCTTCAGACAAAGTAGTGTCTACAATTAGCATCACACCCCCAGGAATGTTGATGACATCAGCTGCAAAGTATCAATACAGATAATCTGACTTTATGGTATTTGTCATAACGTCAGTTATTTGGCTCATAATTGAAATCAAATTATTATTTATATACTGTCAAAACAAACCTGTAGAGAAAGCAGAGACCCAATATTTGTATTAGTAAAGTTTTGTCACACTTTTGTTAGATTAGTCTGAAAAAAGCATCTCAAGTTCTTCATTTGACTCAAGCCGAACGCTATGGGTGAAACCACACTCCATTAATTAATTTCTTTATACAGTCTATGGTTTTAATAACACAGAATAAGATTGTCATTGATCAGTATGAGGAAAAATCAAATCAGCCCTACTGTAAAATGTTTGTATCGCGAGCACATGTTAAACCTAAATGTTATGAGATGTACACTGTCAGGCTCTGTGTAGGTGCTTTGGCCTGAGCCGCCTCTCGTCCTCCACATGAATCCAACAAGAGCAGCCGCCCACACAGCAAATGGAGTCTTCTGTGTGCACCTGAGCACTGCCATCAAACGCACTGAGCTACTGATTCACACAATACGAATACTCACTAACAGGGTCTAAAATGATTCAAGTATGACACATTTCACTAAAATGTAATTAACACAACAGTATTCTATGCAAGTACATTTTTTACTCATCCAGGTGTAAAAATGCTCAAAACAATATTATTAGTTTAACTGGATTTTATTCTTTCTTTTACTCAAACTGTTTCGATGGTCATTTGTATGATTTTGCAAATACTGGTTGTTCCTGGACCGATGGGTCACCTGTGACTGTGTTGCCAGATAAGATGGCAACAATCATTGTTTTTGAGAGGTGTTCCCCCTTTACTTTCAGCATGTATGTGCGATTGTGTGATTATTGCATACCTTTAGGCCCTGCCATGGAAGGCTACCTCGAAGAAAGTACATAAACATGTGGCCCAGTGCCTCCAAATCGTCCCTTCTGCTTTGCTCTGAAATACATAATAAAAAATGCATTCAAAAACAAGAAGAAAAACTCTTACAGACCTAGGTGCATGTTTGAGATGTAACTTTAGCACTAGCCTAGCATTTATTGTTTTTTGTTGATGCCAGCTTTGCCAATATTCCTTCAAGGGTTGTTACTAAAAATAGACTTCCCACAACAGCCGTGATGTAACACGAAATACTGCTAATTAATCTCCTCCCACTGTTCGCATGGACTCGTAGCTTGTTTTGGAAATGTGTAAAGCTCAATATTTTGTTTGTCTATTCACATTTAATAAGTTAAAATCTCATAAAACCTAATTAAACATTTGTTTATAAAAAGCACACTGCACAAAATGTGCACAACCCTGTTTTCTCATCAAGGTTATAGTAAAACAGGGCAGAGGGTGAGTTTGTAGTCAATTTAAATGAGATCATTTGGAGGAAATAAAAATCAGCTCTACATATCAGCCTCTAAATTTCAGCAGAGCTCATCAACCATGAAAAAAACCAGGCCTGTTGATTTGTAAACTGGATTCAGTCATGGATTTAGTAACCTCACTGTGTTTATTCTTTCCTTTGACCATAATAGTAAATGTCACACTTAATCAGTAGATCTTCATAAACATGACCACAGTTATCACTCCATCTTTATAAACACAATCACAGTTATCACTTTATCTTTAAAAACAGATCACAGTGCAGTGGTCTGACCTTTGCCCAGATGTGTGTTGATGCTCATGTAGCGTGCAGTCCCTGTCAGACTCTTGTGCTCCCTGTAGGGGATGTGTTTTTTGGTCTCGGGGTCGATGTATTCTTTGGCCAAACCAAAGTCGATGATGTGAATCGTGTGCTGCCTCTTGCTCCCCGGTCGTCCCACCAGAAAGTTCTCCGGCTTCACGTCTCTGTAGATCAGGCTCTTAGTGTGGACGTACTCCATCCGCGTTATCTGTTTGATGAATCAAAACAACAGGGGCAAAAGGTTAGTAAAGTCACAACAGTTAGGTTAGGAGTTAGGTTAGTGTTTGTACAGTATAAATCAAAAACCAAAACAACATATATCCTAAAATAATTCACCTTGGTTTATTGCCTCAGGGTTGCCATTGCTCTGGTCTATTAGTCCAGACAAATACCAACACAACTTTAAAGAAATCTATAACACTGAACTAAAGAAAGCAATAATGTGTGAATGTGAATTTTCTTCTTTAGGCTGTCGATATATAAAGACCCCAAACCTTGAATTCTTTTAAATGTTTTAATATCATGAGATGAAGTAATACAAGGGGGAGCTGTGTGAAATGCATTTGCAGTAGCATTTCAAATAAGACTAAGGAAAAGGTTTGATACTATATAACTATTTTCATACTATAATAAGAATATTTTTGCACAATTTAATGTCATTTTCAGTACAAAATAATAGTTGTTTCTGATAAAGATCAAGGAAAGGTCAAGAAAGGTTCAATTTAGTTCACCACTGATGCTGATTTACATTAGAATAAAGTTCAGATGTTAGTTTTAGAACATATTTTTTTAACAATCCTAATGTGCAGTTTCTGATGTGTAGAATAGAGTAGGTATCAACCCTAGATGAGTAGAGATGAGCTTTTCTATATAGTCTTATGAAGAAGCGGGCTCTTACCAGCTGTATGGCGATCATGAGGACGGTCTTGAGGGAGAAGGTGCGGTCACAGAGGTCAAACAGATCCTCTAGACTGGGCCCCAGCAGCTCCAGGACCATGGCGTTATATTTACCACACGGACCGAAGTAGTACACCTGCGGGATCCCCTCTGTAAACACATACACAATTTACATTAGACAACAGAACACTTTACATTAGACAACAAAAGCTTAAGCAGCAGAAGTACAGAGTACAACTAATCGAGTGATTTTTAACATATTTGCTTTTAAAATTTAGAATAAAAAAATATAGTGCACCAACTAAGGATGATGAAATATGGTTCTGGAAGTACATTTTCCACAATTTTTCCACAGACATTTTGAAAAATGAACTATGTGCTCATCTTTAAGTAAAATTCTAGATATATTGCCAAGAGTATTTTTTCGTATATTTCACTAAACTTGTTTATACAACACATTTGACATTTTTACTGTTTTGAGGATTAAAATGTGAATTTCATATTCACTTTGTACAAGAAGTGGTTTAACAAAGACTTTTATTATCACAGGCATGATTTAGCCTTTATTTTTAATGAACTGTATTGAATCATTTGAAATATATCGTATCGATTCGAAAGCTCACTGTACGAGATATGTATTCTATCTTGGACTATGTATCGAGGTATGTATCGTATCGCCAACTTCTTAACGATACCCTGCCCTATGGAGCTGATTATCCCCAAGCAAGATTTTGAGCTTTTCATATTCTTTTTTCCTTGTTTTTTGGAAAGTCTATGGGAAAAATGAATGTAATATTTAGTTTTGGAACCACGGGGGTGGTTGGTGTCACTGTTGAGCTCCATAACCACTGACATAAGGATGACTAGTTCTACCAGAAACTCCCTCACAAATTGGTAACAGTTGAGCTATGGTTATATTTTATTCATCACTCATGAGGGAAATTCATTCCCCTGCATTTGACCCATCCTTCAACCTGTCTCTGTAGTAGCAGTGGCAGATTTTGAGCTAGTCTTGATCAGAACTGCCTTAGCTGGAGGATTTGATCTTTTGTGAAACCCACCCAGACAAGACAAGATACTATTTAAATAATTTTGTATTTCCTTTAATACAGTTTGTTTATGAAAGAGTGTGTGTAGCCTGGTCTTGTGACAATACAACAAGAATAGAAGTTCCCCATTTTTGTGTTTTTGTGTAATAATTTAAGAATCTGCAACTGCCAGGACCAGGACGTAAAGTGAAAAAAATTTAACGTGAGAACATTTCACACAGACTTGTATTAAAGTGCCTATAACAGGTTATACTCATTTCACTGACACACAGTTAAAAGTGCATTACGTAACTTTTTTGGTGGAGGAGCCGCAACCTGCTTGTCTCCATGAAGAGGTTATTGCTTAGCCTTGAAAGTTCCACAGTCTGGCGTTAAACTTGTCTAACTTGTATAAATGCAAGATAGAGTCAATTCTAATGCTGTACTGTGGAACATTCAAGGCAAAGCAGTAACATCAGCATGGACAAAAGCAGATTGCGAACCCTCTACTGAAAAAAGTTAAACAGCGCCTTTAAACCTTTAAGATCATATACTGCTAAAAATGTTAAAACTTTTTTTTCCAGTTTGGCAATATTTTAGATCTGGCTGGTTTTTAGATGTAATACACCGAGTCAAAACTCCTCTGAAATGACTATTTGACAAACAAAAACATAAGAAAACACCTTTATTTGGTTGAAATTATGTTTTGGAGTATCGGAAAAAAAATTTTCTTACATGTAAATAACTTTTGGACAGAATTCTCCCCAGTGTGCTGTCTTCAGTGGAACTCTCTAAAATTGAACTCTCTATTTCCTGTATTGTTCAACATATTTTTCAACTTTGCAAACAGTTTTTTGATTGGCGTAAAACTATAATTAATATTTACAACAGCCAAAAAACAACCAAATAACGTAAAATGAGAGAATCGTTTAAATCTGTCAGCCGCACTTTTCAGTTTGTCATCTCTGAAAACCTTTACTGTGTGTGTTGGCCTTGGCAGCTCTTTAAACTGACTTCACCTTTCCTCCACAGAGCTGACACACCCACCAGCAGCAGCAGCGGAGCCAGTGACCTATGAAGAATGAGGAAGGCTCAAAGAGGCTTTATCCAGTCTATTTTCTGTATGTAGGTAAAGGAGGTGTGGCCAAACGCTCAAGTCACCCATCCAAATGAGAAGGGACAGTATTGTTGTCATAATTAGAGCTCTGCTTCCACTCTAAAGGCAAAAAGGAATTAAAGAAGCAAAATAAATCCTTTGTTGTCATTACAACAACTGATTGTACAGTCAGTGTAGAAAGTGAGAATGACAGGTATATAATCATTTTCTGTTTTTGACTTCTGTTTTTTGACTTATTTTGGTAGGATAACATCTGTAGTAAATAAAGTTAGTGAGTTTTGTGAGGAAAAGTTTAGATTAGAGGGAGTTCTAAAAACACTTGGGAAACACAGAATTGAATCTAAAAGGTTGGCACAATTTACACATAAGGAACACATATTTCCAACTATTTAAACCTTAATTCACCCAAATAAAGATGTTTTCATATACTATTATTTGTCAAATAATAATTTTTATATAAATATGAGATAAGTTTTGGCCCAGTGTGGTTGCTAGGTAACAGTTCCCAGTTGATGTCATGATTTCCAGGAAGTAAAATTTTAAAAATTGTGGCAACTGGGAATTTTTTTGGTTTTGTTAGTAATTTATTGATATAATGACCTTATCTTTATCAGCTCATGTTCATAAATCCTGAAATAGATAAATAAATAGATTTGAACAAATGCCTTTTGAAGTGTAAACGTAGATGATTTCTTTGCTTTGGGTTCATAGTCTTGTTTGGGATGATGTTAAGAATACTTTGTTTTTGCCTACTTTTACTTTTGTTATTGATTTTTTTTGTTAGTAACCATTACTTTTGTGTATTTAATCCATTAATCTGCGACCCGACCCTGGATAAGCGGAAGAAAATGGATGGATGGATCTTCGTTTAGTAAAATGAGTAGTTGAACCTGTCATAGGCACTTCTCTGGAAGTGTGAGTCAATACTAGTGAATCACCGATACTGATACCTGAAGAAATTCGTGCCATTTTTTACATATACCAGTGTTGTTATTGGAACAGCCCTCAATCTGGGCCAACAAAAGCAGCCAACCGTTTCTTGGATCCACACAATCCTGGAAGCGATACTTGATCCAGTGAATTCTCTAAATGTCCGACTACACCAGTGTTGTATTATAAGGCTTTATTTATATCTCAGTGGACTGCACCCTTCACCAGAAGCAGCAGATATCTAAAATGCTGACATGATGTGTAAGCAGCCTTTACACTGAACAAGGACTCAGGTGACCATTCCCGTTCTACCTCTCCTGATTTCGAAGAAGACGAAGAGCGCATGACTCACAGATGGTTGGAGCTCTATTGTAAATATCAGCGTGTATAAAAAGCTGTGTGTGTGTGTGTGTCTGTGTTTTGTGTGTGTGTGTGTTTTTGCTGGTGTGGCCTTGGTGACAGATGAGACTGGGACAGGAGATCACATCGAGTCTGACTCATCAAAGCTGGACTCAAATCTAGAGGGCATTCAGAGCACAGTCATCACCGGATACAGCACCCAGAGGCAGTCTGCTGCTGCTCGGAAGGAGGAGGAGGAGAGGAGGAGGAGGAAGAAGAGACAGGATGAGTGAAGACGAGTGAGGAAGAGGAGGAGGAGGTGAGGGAGAGGCGGAGATAAGAGAGAAGGAGGAAGGAGCGGGGAGCAGAAGGAGGACGAGAGAGTAGGAGGGAATGAGGAGGAGGAGAGGGGACAGACAAGACGGAGAGACGATGAAAGAGGAGGAAGGAGAAGGATTAGCAGGGGGAGGAGACAGTAGCAGGGGGAGGAGACAGGAGAAAGGGGAGGAGGTGAGGGAAAGGAGGAGGAGAGAGGTGGAAGAGGAAGGAGAAAGAGGAGGTAGTGGTGAGGGAGCAGGGAGAGGTGAGGGAGAGGAGGAGGAAGAGGAAAAGACAGAGGAGATACGACTGTAGCTACTAAGGATGTCATGATTTATAGAATTTTTATGGACCAAGGAGAATGCATGGAGTGACCTCAGTTTTTGAGTTATCTCCCACTACATCAGTGCAGCCCCTCAGTACTACACTCAAGACAGTAAAACAACACTCAAGTATAATAAAGAAATAAATATATCTTTTGAATATTTATAGGACAACTGTGTAATAAAATTACAAATGTGCTTCTATTATTTCATCGTTAGTTGAAAGTTTAATACGTCTTGCCGTTTTATCATGAACGTCAAAATAGGGCTGTGCAATTAATCACATTCTAATTGGATTTTAATCACCCTGAGATATATTACTTCAAATAGTCAATGATAAACATGAGACTTTGAGAGCGCCACAGTCAATCCTCGGTAAACAGAGAGTTATGGCTTTGGAGGAATAAACTGCCACGTTTACATGAGAGCTTTAATTCCGAATAAAAATGATTTAATTCTGAATAAAAATTTATTCTGCTTTCAAAGGACCATGTAAACACTTAATTCCTAATGAAACTGATTATTCAAATTAAACTTAATTCCAAAGTAAGTGGGTGGTTTATTTCGATTTTAAAGCTGAATTAATTTATTCATCGATCATGTAAATGTTTATTCTTCTTAAAAATAATTCTGGTCGTTCAGCACATGCTCGTTGGGTCGCCCTTCTGACGTGATCCAAACGATCCAGCTCCACCAGTCCTGGCTTCAGACTTTCATCCACCTCTCTTTGGATTTGTGAGCAGGATGCAGGAGTGGGCTGAGGTAGAGCAGCCGTTGACTCAGTTTGTCTTCTTCCTCCCTTCTCGGACACTCTTCCCTTCTCCTCCTCAGCTGACAGACGTAAAGTGTGATGAGAATTCTCCAGCTGCTGCTTCATTATCATCGGAACGACTGCGGAAAAAGTTTGTGTCCGTGGCGTAACGATAAACTGAGATGACAGAAAAGCCGATAGCAGCTGAAGTGTGTGTTTTCTTCCACAAGAAATACGTTCGTGTCTCTGTCCAATCAGAACCCTTCCCCACTCCCAGACATTGAGCAGACTTAAATAAAGGTGATTTAATGTGTTTTCCATGTAAACCTCAATTCAGAATTATT